TTGTAGAGATAGGCAGGAATGTAGTATCGAATGGGTCACCTCATAGCACGTGAATAGCCCAAAGAGATAGTGTGAACTGCTACGGAGTTGTTCTCTGTATCTGCTGTGTAATATTCTAATCACACAGAACTATGTGTTGTAGTAACTCTGGATTTTTCTGAGACCGTTTCTTATATTGAAATGCCAGTCAAAAATACGGAAATGAAGATGGCAGAGAACAAAGGCATAAGGATGTTAAAAACAAACTATAGCCTGTTTAGAATATACTTCAATGTAAATTTTCCTTGTATTTCTGTTAGTACTGACATTTTCTTAACAAAATATGTTTAAAATTGCCACACATGTTAGGAAATGAAGTTTGGGATTTTCAGACTTCTGTGTTTTATTTCAGTGGAGTCTGGTCCTCTGGCTTGTTACATCAGGCTGAGCGGGTTCTGCAGTCACTGGTTGTCATGAGAGCCCGAACACTGGGATGTACATTAGAGAGAGACTTTTGTGTAGGAAGTCAAGTAGGAACAAAAATCAGACTTGTCTGATACATATCCCTTGTATCAACATACAAATTCCTTGTATGATTTGAAAAATTAAAAAAACAAAAATGGAAACAGCAGTGGTTAGTTCACTTTCACTGTGTAGCAATTTGAGAAAATACTAACCAGTGCTGGCTGTTGGGTGTCCTTTGAGTCTATTATTTTTCTGAATGCTAATACGCTAATAGGTTTTATGGACCTAAATCTGAATTTACTAATACAGATTTTACATAAATGGCTCTAATTTACATAACTGTACTTTAGAAATTCAGTGCCTGGCACTGATTTTCTGCCAAGTAGGAGCATTGTAACAGATGGTGGAATTTTCCACCAGCCAGGTGACAACCACTGTAAAGGAGATATTTGTCTTCCCCTAAGTCTCTTGGCTTAAGGAAAAGGCTCAGTTATATTGCAGAATTGTTCTAGTGTATTTGTTATAATTTGAATTATCCAATTTGCTTTACATATATGGAGTAATATGACTGCATCTTTATGAATAAATCTTAAATCACTGATTTTTCATCTTTTCCTGACAATTTTCACCCTTTTATCATTATCTCAATTGACACAAGAATGTGTGGATAAGTTTCTGTCAGGAGTAATGTAGTGACAGTTCAAGCATTTGGAAGTATTGTGCTCCATGCAGTAAAAATGCAGTATAAAATATTTGCAGTTATTTTTAGGTTGAGGAATAGTGGAGTTAAAAAATTGCTTATGAGTTGTAGGGAGAAAATACTCTCTCTGGAGATGCTTGGCTTCTATCATTCAGGTTGTGCTGGCTGGAGAACAAGAACAGATGGCAACTGGCAGTGTAGCAGCAGGTGCAGCAGGAGTAAAAACAGATTGTTGTCCTCTGATTAGGTCACGTAAAGGTTTTTCCCATTTTTTTTGCAGATCCGCTTAATGAGAATTGGGCACTCTGCTATTCCTCTTTCCATGTTAAGAGTTAGTTCTGATTGATATTTTTTTCACCCTTAGTGAAAAAGTAGGGAAATCCTTTGATTATTTAAAAAAAATTTTTTTTAGGCTGTAAATATGACAGACATAATCAGCACAAGCCAATTCACTTTCGGTATGTCTTCAGTACCGCATTGGGACAGCTCACAACAGCATTTAAGATGAGGTGGTAGTGGGTTAACACAGGTGAGGACTCTTATCACTGAAAAAAATCTGAAAGAGCTTTTGGTGAAGGAGCTGTTGAGATTTAAGTGCTACAGGTTTACCTGTTTACCATTATTCGAGGATGTCAAGCTTTGTACATTCATATTCTAGAAGCAATTGAAAATAATTCTCAAAAGAACCTGATTCAGCACTTAATAGAATTGAGTAGAAAATGTGCTTATTGGCATCCATAGGAATAAGCTTGAATTCCAGGGGAAAGTAGTTTTTACAAAGAAATGAAATGCACCCCCTGTGCATTCCCTATACCCCCACCCAAAAAAAAAAAAAAAAAAAAAAAAAAAAAAAAAAAAGGAAGAGTATATAAGCAACATGTCTATGCTCTTTATATAGAGCTTTTGTCATGCTCCAAATGGTGATCTTGGGGGATGTGATAGGACTGGCTTTCTAACTGTAAACTCCCAGCCCAGAGACAAACTTTTAAACTGTTGTGGAGCAGTTAAGTCTTGCATTGTCAGTTAAGCCATTTGGATCTAAAAGTGTGAGAGTCCTGTTTTGTCTGTCATTTCTACTCCCACTGTTTTAGGGTCGTCCTGCCCCTTGTATTAATAGAACTTCACGACTGCTTGACATGAAACAAAGCTAAATGAGGAAATCGGCAGTGGTCCCACAATTTAGCCTTTCTTTATGTGTTTTTTCTTATCCTCTGATAATATTTTGTGGGGATCTAATTTAACACGCACTAGAAAGCTAAGAAGTTCATATCTGTAAAGATTTTTTTTTTTGTCACTTCAGACTGTGCTCAGTCTTGGACGTCTGTATCTCTAATACATTATGCTTACATTTCAAAGGCTTCTTCAAAACCACAGATACTGGGAACTTTCTAAAATGAAATCAGTCTGCAGAATCTGAGCGCTTCTGCGGGCCAGACCCAACCATGGAATATCACTTTCTGCATGGTTAGCTATTGAAAACATCCTCGAACGACCAAAAGCTTCTGAATGTATTGAAAAGCCTTTTTCAGCTCTAGGTCATGTTTGGTGTTATCCTTTCTGGGCATTATCGTGTAATATTTCCTAGTATGGTGGTGATACACATGCTTCCTACTGAAGGAGCAGGAGCTTGTGTGTAACATGTCTGGAGCCTGACAGATCTTTCTCCCTTGTGTTTAAACTTACAAAAAGTGCATTTAAAAACCAGAGTGGGCAGACTTTGTGTTTATTTTAAACTTTAAAAGTGAAAAAAAATGTGTGTATGGTTGTGTTAGAAGTAGAGCAAAACACATCAATGTATGCAAAACTACAGCAATTCCTGTTGTCATATTAATAGCATTCTAGTTATATCTTCTATTTTGAACCTTAATCTGTGTATCTCCCAGGATAGGAATTTGTGTACTGTGTCTCCAACAAAGCTGGCTGCAGTGCATGCTGACCATTGCTGGGGGGTTGGGTGTGATCACATCCTCAAATATATTAGCTGTCATGTTCTGCCAGTGTGGTTAAACATTGCCTTGTGTCTTTTGATTACAGTATTTTTGAGATAGGGAATTTGCTGGGTTGGTTTGGACTTAGTTTTATGTAAAATACTGGCTTGCGTGTTGTCTTTTTTTTTGGTATGTTCTTCTCTTTGGGGTTTGGAGCTTCTGTTTTGCCTTCCTGGTACATCCAGCAGTGGGGTTGTAACTTCCTTTGCAGGCCTATCTATGGTAGGCATTTGAAACTGTCACTGTAATAACACTAACCTGGTAGGTCACCTCTGTCTTTTGAAGCCATAGTCCATTGTCTGTTCTTAACACTTAAAGGCCGCCTACTCTGAAATACAGCAAATGTAATGGAAGTGTCAGATAAGATCCTTGGATGAACTGGATCAAGGCTTAGTACAAGTACATGGGAGAGACAGTCTGTTTTTCTTTTCCTCTTGCTTTGTTGAGATGATATTTGTGGGCAAATCTGTTTATCCAGGACACAGGATGCTGTTAACTGCCTAGGCATGAACTTTGTGGACTCCATCTGGATTAGTCTGTGCTAGAGGACCACTTAGATTGAGTTGTTTTTTGTTTTTTGTTTTTTTGATATTGCCACTTCTTGAAGCTATTTGTAGTTGTGCAGTCTTAAATAAAAGCAGATAGCTAAATAATGACTCCTGAATTGTTCTTTAGAAGGCTCAGGTTAGTGGTGTGTAGATATTGATTTGCACAACACACCTGAAATATGTACATATTGAATTTTCAATACCATTTGTTTGGGAAAGTGTTGTGTAGGGGAAGGGATAGTGGGGAGAAGGTTCCTTCAGCAGCTACATGTGGTCTTTTAATGCCATCTTCGTTGACATCTGCTCGACTCACTGCAGATAGCACTTTCACTAGCTCTTTAGCTACTCTCAGCACTTCAGGGCCTGAATAGTTGAAGGAAAATTAGCTATCATATGTAGTTCTGCTACCTGTTGGTACAACTGAGTATGAAGCAGAAAATCTACTTTCGTTTCTATATTAGGGAGCAACAATATGCTCTGCTATTGGTGGTTTTCCCTACCAGTTCGAACCTGTCTTGTATGAGTTTAAACAGTGTGTATGAATATTTGAAAGCAAGAAAACCCAGGAATGTGCTTTGGTTTTGACTGACGTGGACTGAAGATAGACATACTGTGTAATCTACCTGCAAAGACTTTATTTTTGTAATTTACAGATCCATGGAATTTAGGCAGCAGGTACCTAGATCGATTTGTCCCTGGGTATGGGTGGTGCTGTTCATTTGACTGATCTGGATTTAAGTGAGAAGTGACTTGCTGAGTTTGGTGTAAACAAGGGAAGACCAGCATGCATTGTCTGTAGCATAGTAATTTTGATATAATCCAATATTCTTCTACAGTGCTTGTCACTCCAAAGCAAGGAGTGCTGTGCTGCTGATAAAAATAGATTGGACTTTTTCTGACCTTTTAAAAATGCCCCTAATACACTAGCACAGGCTTTGCTGTGGAACATCTGACTTTTAATACTGATTGTGAAGCCAAGTGAGGTAAGTAGAACTTGGATCGACTGTAAATGACTTAGCCACTTAGTAAATCCTCTTGAACCATGCTTGCTACCCGCTTTTCACTGAGAGCATGGAGGATGGTTAAATGCTGGTATGTTATGAGGTAATCTCCCTCTGTCACCACTGGTTTGGTATCCAGTGGCCCTCAGCACCAAAGACTGATGACTCTGAAAACACATTGGTTAAACTGCTTACTGTGGTAAAACAGCTAATGGGTTTTGGTGCGTGCTTTCTACTGTGATTATGTGGCTTATGCTATCGGTATGTGAACAGCAATGTGAAGTGCTCATGTTTAACGAAGCTTTTGATTTTTCCATAGTTTTCAGTTGACCAAAGAAATGGTGATGGAGAAGCCAAGTCCCCTGCTGGTCGGGCGGGAATTTGTGAGGCAGTACTATACTCTGCTGAACCAGGCACCCGACTATTTGCACAGGTAAAGCTCTGCTTCACTTCAGTCTATCTTTTGGTGTAAATTTTTTAATTTGCATGTTAATATTGGTGAATAAGCTTATTACCACGTGGCTTGCTGAATTTGGACACTCAAATCTGTTTTACTCAAGACAGACTTGAGTGAAGTTTGCTTTCAGTTTTGATCAGCTGGGTTAAAACATGGATAACAAAGATTACAGGCATTCTTTAAATATGTGTGTTCTGGTTGTTAGAAATGCTGTTGGACATGTATTCTAATCAAAAAGAAAAACATAAGTCAAAATGTGTTGCTAATTCTGGTTGTAATCAGTATAAATGAAAGTTGGATAAATGTCATTTAGTTACGAATATTTGTAGTTTTATCTTGATACAGTATCCCCTGACTAGGGGAAGAATGTTGAAAATTATGTATGCTTGTATATTAGTATATCTCAGCAGCCATACCAGCAGCTCTTTTTTAAAGGAAAATCAGAGAAATTATGAATGAGCAGCAAACTACAATCTGTTATTTAAACAAATCGGTCCTGTTTGATTTGGCAGGTATCCTACATTGCTAGAACTAACCTCATTTTTGAAGATATGCTTTGTTTTGCTGTACTTTGAGTAGCTAGACAAACAATTTCTGAAACTTTCCTTCTTCCAATCTCAGGAACACTTATTCAGAGTATTCCTCCACTGAGGTGGACAGCAGACCTTGTCTGTTTGGGTCAGAGGAAGACTTACAGTGTGCCATGGAATTCAATTCTAGCCTTTTATCTGCTGGCAGAATGCAGTCCCATGATGTTTATGACATTTTAGCTTGTAGTCCCCGAGTTATAAAATGGAAGATTTACCTGCAATACTTTTTTTGGTGTAGATGAACAAAAAAATACCATTGTTCCTTGCTCAGGCTTTAAACTAGAACTTGAGGGGAAGCCTTCAGCATCTTGGGTGTTCAGGGTATTATGTTGCTTTAGGGACTCTGCAGAGAAAAGGGGAGCTGGATGATCTAATCCCATCCTCCTGTTAGTGCTTGGGTATCTGACATATCTGAACTCTACAGTTTACACAGGAGAACTTTTGTGTTTTCCCTTTCGATCAAATTCCCCCCCTGCCTGCCAATTTCTAACAGGATTATTGAATTGTATGGCCATATTCCAAATAATTTAGACAGAAAACTTGCTTGAGAGTATATTGTTCATAGTGCACTCTGATGTATGGGATCAGTGTTCTTGCATAAACAAAACTTAGTGTTAAAATACTTCTTTCCAACAGGTTTTACGGAAAGAACTCTTCCTATGTCCATGGTGGCTTGGATTCCAATGGAAAACCAGCTGATGCAGTCTATGGACAGTCGGTAAGTACCTAAACTTAGTGGTTTTGCCTTTTTTCTCACCTTTGTGGTTGAGAAGAGGTACATACCTGTGATCCATCCCCCTTTGTCCAAGTGCTTTTCTGGAGTTAGGGGATATATGATGAAATAGTGTTTTATGGTTTTGCTTTCTTTGAAAGCTGCTACCTTAGCAGGAATGGCTTCTGCAGCATAACCTGTATACTGTTCTTTCACAGGATATCCACAAGAAGGTGCTGTCACTAAACTTTAAGGATTGCCACACAAAGATTCGTCATGTGGATGCCCATGCAACTCTCAATGATGGTGTTGTAGTCCAAGTGATGGGAGAACTCTCCAATAACATGCAGCCTGTGCGCAGATTCATGCAAACATTTGTACTTGCACCTGAGGTATGCTGCATTGAGTGCTAGTGTTGTTATAGTGCTTCTAGTTTCATGTCAGGATTAATGAGGCCTGTCTGGTTTAGTGTTGGAGTCTGAATGGTTAGACTGGGAAGGTAGTTTGCCACAGAATTCAGCAGTAATGGTCTGCAAATTCCTTAGAAAGTTACACCACTTCTGTATGGTCATATGTTAACCCTGGAACCCTGGAAATCAGTTACAGGGCTTTTTTTTAGGATATTTACAGTTGTAAATATCCTAACTTTTGGCTACTAGGTATCTGCAATGCATATATTTGCTTAAGCATTTGGAAGTTATTTTATCTTTGATTTGCCCTCATAGTAACTGATCCTTTTACTGTAAAGAACTAGTAGAAAGAGGAAAATGCTTCCTGTCATTGAAGACACGGGTTCCAGACTTTCTTCTTGTATTTGAGCATTTGAGGTGGCTTTTTTAATAGACACGTTTTTGAACAAAATCAGTTCACATGATTGAAAATGATAGTGAAAAAGGTGTATTGCAACATCACTTTATTTTTCAGTTTGACTTAGAGCTAAGAATGGATACTTTAGACCCCAGGAAGTTCTTACTCCTGCTTTTTCAGTGTTGTGAGCTATTGGAATTAAAAGCACTACTATGATTTCTTTGTCCGTTTTTCCAGGCATACTTGCCTTGCTAGTGTGATCTATCTTCCTCCTGCCCCACGCCTTCCCCTGCCTCCAGTAACACCCATTTTGTTGAAGGAGGCTAGTTTGGATGTATCTTGTGTGGGAAGGATGATTTGCTCCAGCTGTTCTTGTTTTCTCATTATTTCAGTTTTTACACTACTGCAATTGATGTAGCTGACATGGTTCCTCCCTTTGATTTGTTTCCAGGGTTCTGTTGCAAACAAGTTTTATGTCCACAATGATATCTTCCGCTACCAAGATGAGGTTTTTGGTGACTCTGACACTGAGCCTCCAGAGGGTGAGTAGTATGAATTTTTGGATGGTTCTACTGGTATTTGTTTCTGGGTCTACACCAACACTCTGTTCTGAGACCAGAGGATATCTTGCTGGAGAAGGCAGATAAGCATTAAACTTCGTGTTCTTCCAAGTTTTTTCCTTGCCTGTAGTTTCCTTTCACTCCAGCAATGAACTATGACATGCAGGTGATTGTTATTTTTCTGTATCCTATTAAAAGAAAAGTAAGACTTATTTTATCAGTCATGGTCAGATTTGTAGGCTATAAATCTGCTTCTCTGAAGGATTTGGAACATACAGTTTGACCTTGGTCAAAATGGAGTAATTGAAGTGATAACAGAAGTATAAGGAAATATTCCATGTCACATCTTGATAGTGCTTCCCATGTGCTCTTCGGCAGACACTTCACCTACATGCTGGGAAAGGTGATGCCTTGCATTTGAAACAAGTACTAAAGATGCGTGTGGTGTGTTTTTCCTTTCCTAACTTCATTTAGAATCAGAGGAGGAAGGGGAGGAACCTGAGGAAAGACAGCAGACGCCTGAGGCTGTTCCTGATGATTCTGGTGCTTATTACGAGCAGGCTGTCAGGTAATAATAGTATCTTAGTAGATGAAGTCAGGTGTTGTGTAATACAGACTGCTTGTAGAACAAATCAAATTAATTTATTGCTACTCATGATTTTCCTCTTTGGCAGTCAAAAGACTTTTGTTTATTGGGCAGCTGAAACTGAAGTGCTGTTAGACTGCATTTTCAGCAGATGTAATGCTTTGGCTGCTCTATAGTATAACAGTGTGAAACTTGCAGCCCTGTGCAGTGTGGCCTTAATCTAGACAGATTAGCCTTGTTGTTTCTCTTGAATGCAACGTGTCTGACTTCTGTATTGGACAAATAGCATTCCTTACTACCAAGTAATAGAATCAAATACAATACCACCTCTTTTCTTTGATTTTTGTGGTGCTGTATAATAGCAATGACATTGAGGAACACCTGGAAGAGACGACTGCAGAGGCAGAGCCTGAGCCAGAGCCAGAGCCTGAACAGGAGCCTGAACCAGAGGTGCAAGAAGAAAAATCTGAGCCGGTATTAGAGGAGTCAGCTCCAGAAGAGACCGTGGAAAAGAGTCCTTCTCCAGCTCCTGCTGATCCAACTCCTGCAGTGCAAGAGGACTCCAGGGTAATGATGGTGGATGGCTATTTTCTATGATGTGGTGGTTTCATAAGTATGTTTGATTTTCCTGTTAATTCTGTAGAGTGTGATCCTCTCTGGCAAGAGGAAAAATACCTGGAATTAGAAGTGTTTACGTGCTCTATAAGCCCCCCTCCTCAAATTACTCTTTTCATGACCAGTTGCCTCCTTCCCATTAGTTCCTATACAATAACAGGTAGTTAAAATTCTAGTTGTAAAATTAATTGGTTAAAATACCAGGAGCTGAGGCAAGCCTTTGTATATTTGGTAGGTAGGGGAATGGTGGCAGCAGTGAGAGGCTCAAATTGTTTGTAAACAGTTGCTGAAATTCTGAACAGACTGCAATCAACAGACTGCATTGGGAAAATGGGTGAACTGTGATTTTATTTCTACCTGGAGTTTTTTGTCCCTTTTCAGCAATAAGGGAGGCAAAAGTGGACAAATGGGTATTCAGGAAACCAGTACTTCAGTTAACCTTGATGTTATGCTTGATTTTAGGTCGCTGTTGTGTCCTATTTCAACTCTATGTAGAATGTAGAGATAGGGTGGAAGTGTGACTCCGTTCTCATTATACTTAAGTCCTTTGAATTTAAATGTTTGAAGGAAGTTGTGAGGAAACTGCTAGTGGCTGGACAGGGAATTTCAAGGACAGATTAAATTTAGTTAATGGTATCCTGTGTCTTATGTACTATCAAAAATATATTTCAGAAGGATAAAAGCATCTGGAGTTATGATCTTTTTTTTTTTTAAGACATTTTCCTGGGCATCAGTAACCAGTAAGAACCTCCCTCCCAGTGGAGCTGTTCCAGTATCAGGAATACCACCTCATGTTGTGAAAGTACCGGTCTCACAGGTATGAATCCGGCACCTAGAGAAGTTTTAAGTGCTCAATGAGCTGACAGTAAACTGAGGTGGGGAAGAACAGAGTGAAATCTGCTTGCTTATGATCTGAATTCTCAGACTCCAAAGACTTTTCCTGATATTCATAAAAATGTTTTTTCTTGGCTTTTTGGTTGAGAGAATTGTTTCTCATGGAGGAAAACCAGGGAGTGTTCATGCAAGTGCTGGATGTATCTGTCATCTAAAATGATTGCACCCTCTTAACAAGAGGCAACTTTTCTTTTTCCACTGCCTATTTGTGAATGAGGTTTTGTCATGAATGAGTTTGTGTAATACAGTCTGTGTAACTGCCACTGCACTTTGGGCAGACACACTTTATCGTACAGAACAGTGAATGGGGTTATTGAAATTCTGACTTGAAGTGACATGTTTGCTTTTAGCATATAAGCTAACGTGCACTAACATGCATCTTAGTGCCAGTGAAAAGAATTAATGACTTTTTTTCCTGAATTTTCAGTCTACTTTATCAACAGCTTGATAGTGAGCTCTTAAAAGCTGAACCCTACTGCTGGGTCTGATTCTTTCCTGTTAACTCCCTTTTTGAATTTATACAGCCCCGCCCTGAGGCAAAGCCTGAATCTCAGACCCCACCTCAGAGACCTCAGAGGGATCAGCGAGTGAGGGAGCAGCGAGCAAGCATCCCACCACAGAGGGGTCCTAGACCAAGTAAGAGAAGCTACAAAGAGTAAACCGTTTTCTGCTATTTGGTCTTGGGGAAGCAATATGATGACTAAAGCTTTTAAAATCTCATTAATTTTGTCAGTAAGCAAATTATTTCTACTTTTGTGGATATGGTTATTTTAGATGATCTTGGTCTGAATGTCTGTCAAGCTTCAGAGCTGAATTTCACTAGCATTCTGTTGAACCGTCTAGGTTTCTACTCAAGTGTTTGGCTTCAGTCAGGCGATAAAAAGCAAACAGTTACAAACCTGTTAGTGTAGAATGCTTACCTTTTTTATATATGAATGGATAAATAGAGTGTAAATTCTCATTATCTTATAAGGTGCTAATTCTGACCATGGCTTGGTTTTTTTATTAGTTGGGAGACTGTCTTTTTTTCTTTAAACAAGTTTAAATTTTCTTTTCAAGTTCGTGAGGGTGAACAAGGCGATGTGGAAACTAGACGGATTGTGAGATACCCAGACAGTCATCAGCTGTTTGTTGGGAACCTTCCCCATGATGTGGATAAAACTGAACTTAAAGACTTCTTCCAAAGTAAGTTAGTTGCTTTGCTATGCTTCCAGGGTTTGGGGGTTGTAGCCATAAGCGTGGTCGACAGAGCATTCTAATGTATGACCCAAGAACTTGGCTTTTCTCTTGCAGGCTATGGCAATGTTGTTGAACTCCGCATCAACAGTGGTGGAAAGCTCCCCAACTTTGGGTTTGTGGTGTTTGATGATCCTGAACCAGTTCAGAAGATCCTTAGCAGCAGGGTAAATAAACTTAGTCAGTGGTTTTTGGTCTGTTAATAACAGGCAGTGTTTTTCAGATTACTCTTAACAAGAAAAGATTCTACCTTTGGGCTTTCTTGAGCATATTAAAGTAGGTGTCATGTCTTTCCCTCCTATTACCAAGGCTTGTGCAGCATTTTGTACAGATTGGACCTTTTGTCATTAGCTTGTAACAACTTAGGTGAACATGAATTTATTCATTGTAGAGCCTTTTTCTAATGGGAAGTTGTTGAGCTCTACCAAGGAAGCATGTAAATAGTTTTCAGGAAGGCAAAATAGTCTTAACTGTGTAGACAAGTACAATCTTCTTTGTCAAAGAGCTTGCGAAGAGGAGGTTGAAAGGGAGAAGCTATACTAGTGTGCATGTTGAAAAGGATTTCTGCTAACAAAGGCAGGAGGTCCCTGCTCAGCTTGTTAGCAGTGGTTGCTAATGTGAAATGTGCACCCCGTGACTGTATAGTGTGGTGGTAGGCAGTGAATCTGGATGCACCGTAACGGCTGTGCAGTGTTCTTACTTACAGCTTAGCTCTTCACCAGACAGGGACATCCTTTTTTTCTTTATTTCCTTACTGTACAGCAGTATTGCCAGTATAATTTCTGTTCTTAAAGTGAAGGTAACTTTGCAGATTTTTAAGCCTTGAGTTTAAGTCCCAGTTTGGAATATTTCATGTGGCAGGACACCTTTAGTTGTGGGATGCTGGCAGCACTGGTGGCGATGCTTGATGAGTTAGTGCACATGAAGCCCAGCAGCCCTAGAACTCTTGCAGGGAGCTGGCAATTCAAGATTGGAATGCTGACAGAGATACTTACTTAAGTGGCAGTTCCAGTGTGGTCTAGGGTAAAGTCAAAAGTGATTTGAAACCAGTGCTAAAAGTAGGTTGAGTAAATCTGGTTGACTTTGGTCTGAATTGGTGTGGGAACAAGTAGTACAGTGGCAGTGGGTCCTTAGACCATTTCTTAGCTTCAAGCAATAGACGAACACCTTCAGCAGTGACTTAAATTTGCATGTTTGAGTTTTTGCTGAAGCAAACTAGAAATGTTCACTCGAGTTCCCTTGCAGTTGTGGGGGTATAACTAAGAGCTGAATGCCAGACTTCATGTCCAGGGAATACTGAAGGTGCACTCAGCTGGGGAATTTGTGGCCTCTGTTTACTTGTTCAGCTGTGCCACTCTGTAATGGAGAGTGGATGCTGGTTTCCAAGTTAGACTTTGAATGTCTAATAGTTGGTGCACTCAGAGTATTGTTTCTGCAAGCCCATGTAAATGTTGAAGATATAATGGATGAGCATGGTTTTCTGGAATAAGACTTTTTATGTATAACTAAAGTCCTGTAGAAGCAGTTTAACATACCTCCTAGCCTGCTTTGAACAGCACTAAATTCTGTTTGTAGTATCCACTGTGTGAAATATTTTGCAGATGGGTCCAGTACTTTGAGCAAATGTATGTCCTGAAACAGTAAGGACTCTTTTCAGGATGAGCTTTGCTCTAAATGAGTGTTAAAAGCTTTGATAGACTCTTAGCCAGTAAAACTAAACCTGATGTCTGCTGCCTGATGTGAAATGTGGGAGTTTACACTGGATTTGGTAATAATGCTGTAACATGATGCTTCGATCTTTGTCCAGCATAGCTGATGGCTAGAGGAGGGCAATGTGCTTAGATCTGTTCTGCCTCTGTAGTCAGCTCAGTAGAAGTGAGTGGCTAGTCTTTCCATCTGATGAGAAAGCATTGTGCCTGGGCCAAGGATGGATCATCTTTTTCATGTTCTTGTTTATGCACCTGCAGCAATAATTTGAAACAAGTGAGTCCTTGTTCCTGTAGTTTGTGAATTCTTGCAGACTTCAGCTTTTTGTCTAGTGAGGTTTGTGGGAAACCTCACTGAAGCAAGAGCAGAGAGGAGCAGAGCTGCAACATCCCACACAAATGACGGCTTGTTGCTGCAGTTCAAAAAAAATAGAACTTGACCTAAGAGAAAAACTTCACTGGCCTGTATAGGAAGGTGGTGGCAGAGAGGATCTGATGTTCTTCAGGCCATAACAAAAATCAGCTGGGACTCTGCATGGTGTCAGACTGAATTGCCATGTATTAATGGAAGGTTACTGTTAATAGTTCAATTCCTTTTCTAAAAGGTGTCAGAATGTTAAATGTTAAGCCTGAGACTGCTTTTCAGGTGTCACATCTCTTTTTTTTTTTTTTTTATTAATATCTTCTCCATTAAAGCCACTGACTGGATGCATAGTTTGACTATCACCTTTTTCTAGTAACCAATCATAAACCACTTCAGTTTTCTTTCATGTAGAGGAGGATATGAGACAAGGTTGCAGAAATCTGCTTGACGTTGAAGAGTTACTGGTGAGTCATTAATGAAAGTACCTTTTCTGTTTTTGTTGCAGCCCATCATGTTCAGGGGAGAGGTGCGCCTGAATGTGGAGGAGAAGAAAACACGAGCTGCCAGGGAGGGTGACCGCAGAGATAACAGACCACGTGGACCTGGAGGCACTCGTGGGGGGCTGGGAGGTGGGATTCGAGGGCCTCCGCGTGGAGGAATGTCCCAGAAGCCAGGATTTGGAGCTGGAAGGGGGATCGGGCAACGCCAGTGAATGCATCACGGATGTTGACATGGTGGCGCAAACCCTTTTTCCTGCAGATTTGTGAATTTCAGCCTTGGGTATCTTGGAATGTGGCCCTAGCCTGTATAGACTGCTACGTTTGATACTATTTTGGCCCCTTTTTGTTTGTGTTATGGTTTTGTGATTTTTTTTTTTCTAGTCCTTGTCCCAGATTCCAGCTTTGTGGAACAACGTTTTAGGAAAAGTGGATTTTAAAAAGAAAAGAACTGATTTTTCTTGTTCACCTCAAACTTACGGACTGGATTTTTTTGGTACCGGTGGTTTCTCCTAAAGGAATGTCTCTTTTTTTTCTTCTTTTTTTTTTTTTTCTCCCACCCTTTCTACTGAATTTGGGTGCGTTTCAGTCAGTGGAATAATATTTCACGTGCATGCGTTCAAGAGCCTGTAGGAAAGCATAGTACTTGACAAGTATTTCAAGGGCAGAAAAACAAAACTATTGATTTATTCTTTAAGGGTCATATGAACAGCCTCTGGTCCGGAGATATTGCCACTTGAAAAATTGACATTCACCTTTCCCTTTGTGGCGCTGTAAAGTGGAATAATGGGTATCTGTAAAATCTTTTTTCTTTTGATACATGATCACGGAAAGGAATTCGAACTACTGTTTTACCACTTTAAAATTTTGGATTGTGGGATAGGTTTTAAATGTCTAGAACTTGACTCTTAAAACACTTTTCCTGAACTTGTGAAATTTTTTATTGAAATAGGGAGTTTTTTTCATGTTTAGTTTGTATTTGTATAAAAAAAAAAAGCAAAATTGTTGTGCCTTCTATTTATCTCTCATTCCAGTCTTGGCAAATTGTTTAAAAAAAAAAAATAAAAAAGGTCTAGATTTGCTTTATCAAGTTAAGAGTATGTTGGAGTTTTTCCAAGGGGAAGAGGTTTTTCAGTCATTAGGTTTACTAGGTAGAGGTGGTTATAGCTGAAGTTTTTAATACCTTCTGTTCATCAGTTTGGCTGATTTAAATAACTGAAAACAAGTACTTTTTGGATGTAGAAATTTAATAAGATTGATTTGTGGCTGGGCAGGCCCCATTACAATTGTTGCAAAACTACAGCCAAAGCAGAAATACCTCTGTCACGTCCTTTACAGTTCAAACTGCAGTATGTTATAGAGTCATTTTTGCAGTTTTAGGCATTAATTTCATCCCTGCTTCTGCCAGTCCTGAAGTGGATGGATGCCATTTTTGTCAGAAGTGCAAAAGGTGCCTGTATGCCCTGGTGTTAAGAAAGATGTTGAGTTCTCTCTGCTGCTTCTGAAAGGTGAAACAAAATAAAAAAACTGGGTAATTTCAATCAGAGATCCTGTAAGATTCTACTGCACAAAGCAGTATTATTTCTATAATGTGTGGTGTTAAACATCTGAATGAAAACAGCAGTTTTGAGTCTACACCAGACCTTCAAGAGCTCTTGGTAATACAAAAGAGCTGCTTAAGTAGTTTGCTTATCTGTGTCAGGGTTCATTGTTTCTGTGTTTTCTTGATTTATTAATATAATTGCTGTGCATATGCAATATATCTCTTGGCCTTTCCTTGCTGTAAAGCTAGAAGAACAAAGCTGCCCTTGCTCGAAGGGCAGATAGGTATTACTTGTTCCAGAACAGTAATTTTTTGCCTCTTGCTTCCTAAACTTAGTGGTTGAGCCAGGTTGTACTAAATGTCAGTAGTTTTGGTTTGTTCTATTTTATCTGCATCTTCAGAGTTGTTATGCTATTTGTCTCTTCCCTCCTTACAAATGTTTCTGCCATTGACTTGCTTACAGTCTGTTCCTGAAGACTTAAATATCTTAGTGAATTGGAGGGGAGTGAGTTGTGACAATAGCTGTGGTATGCTCTCGCAGCCAGCATATTGGAAATACATGCTGCTTCCTCTTGTGGTGGTAACTGGTATTTAAAAAAAAAAAGCTTTCTGCGTTTATCAGGAATGACTGTGAGGTAAAGGTATGCAATGGAAGTCTTTCACTGAACTCTGTCCTTGTTCATGGTATATTTTTCCATCTCATTTGTTGGGTTCCTATTGTTCTTGATGTTAAATCCAAGGCTGCAGTAACAGGTTGCACTTCAGACTTAGCAAAGTGCTGTTTATTCATAGAAGCTTTTATAGCTCTTAACCAAATCTGCAAACGCATCCATAAACCTGAAACACCATTTTTGTAGTGGGAGTTGGGCAGTTCTGACTGGTTTGAGAAAAAGAGCTGAGGAATGTTGGTGAAGAATTTAAGAGGCTATAAGGTGAAGTGTATGCTTGTTCTCATCTATGAATCGTACTCTCAATATGTTGACCCAGAAAGTGATGTTCTTGTCCAAGATGACGGGCAAAATAAAATATTTACATAAAATTTTCCTGGAATGTCTTGTAACAAAATACTTGTTAAAAGCAATTTATATTGACAACATCTTGACAAAATGTAGAGTGACTCAATATTTGCATTTTGATGGTTCTGTGACTAGCTAATAACAGTATATGGAAAAGACCTGCTGTAGAATGTTGTCACATTGGCTTTTTTGTTTAAACTTTTTAGTAAGCGTCAAGCCCTTCTGGTTTCTGTGCTGCTGTGCTGTAAAACCTCAATGTGTAAGGTCTTCAGTGCTTTGCATGCGATTAGTGGTGAAGATGACTATGAAGAAGTCATGATTAAGTTTGCCTTAGCGAGCTGCCTTGAACTCAAATAGCTACAAGGTGGCTAACCTCTAATAACCAGGTAGCCTGACCCTTACAGGAAGGAAAATGCTACAGGGCTGTCTCAAACGAGTAAGGTGCTGTGTGTCTCCTTGCTAGCACCTCCACTTTAATCTAGACAATGAGGTGTTTGCTGAAGTGCTCTCCATGTCCCAGTGCTCTGTGGTCAGATCTGTCACAGGCTGCTTTTTGCACCCACGCAAGCCACATGGACAGTGTCAGAAGCAATCTTAATGATCCTTAGAACTTCATGATCTGCCTTTCTTGAGAGCACAGGGGTTTCATGTATGACTGGTGCAATCTGACCTCATAGTGTAAAAATAAGACTTTAATTTACAGTATTACCTCACATCACCTGAACCAGAACTGGAAGCTGGGCTGTCTTTGCTGTATTTTTGGTTAAAGGCATTGCGCATTTAACCAGGCTTTGTTATGCCATTTTCTTGTGCAGGGAGAAACTCATGGAGTATTCAAGTACCAGCACACTTGCATGGGGCTGTTGTATAACGTTGAACTGAAATTTTTGTGTTTGGGACTGCAGGTGGTTTGTTCTGTGATTGAGGATACAGGCAGGGAACACTTGCTGTCTCTGCAGGGCCCTGTTTACAGGTTCTTTTATTTATTTTTTTTTTTAAATTTGCTCAGAACTGAAGCTCTACTGTTCCTGGGTGTACACTAGCTACATAGAGACAAGTGTGAGGTGTTGAGCACGCTACTGGAATTAGGGCTTTGCATAAAGGATTTACTTCTGGAGTGAGAAATGACCTGTGTACTAACACACTGTGTGTAACAGCGACCTCTGACTTGAATCTGAATGAGAAATTCATCAGCAGTGCCACATGGAAGGGGTGTCCCTTAGACCTGGGAGTCTGCTTTCCTTGGTGAAAAGGATGGTTCTGGGTGCAAGTATGAAGATTTGGAGTTGTGGTCTCTGCAGCTGCTGATTCTGCACATCTCGAAGGGACATATTTTTTTTAACAAAATGTGTGGGGTGTTTTTAACTGTTTCTCTTTACACGCTGCTGCCTGGGGCAAAGAGCACATGGCACACTATCAGTTTCCTTAAGTTGCGTGTGTTTTAGCAGGAAATAATTATCTTGATGATTATTTCATTTCCCAGCACTACCATTCTTACCCTGGCTGGTAACTTGAGAAACTGTTCTCCTAAGATCCTAATAATCTCGTTTGTGTGTTTGTTGTGTGGAGGATGGGATGAGGAGGTTTGTTAATAGTTTATCCGGTTATGAGATGTGAAACAATTGAGTAAAATGCTTTTGAACTCCATCATTCCTTAAAGGCAGCAGATTTTAAGAGTAATGTTGTGTTCTCAGAATAGATTTGAAGGGCAGGATGTTGCCCTTCTGTTTTCTGTCACAAAATGCTGCTTGCCAAGCCAAGTGGGATCTGCTGTTCTGCTGATGATACTTCAAACTTGACAAAGCACCTGACTGTGGAAGGACAAATACTTTATCATGTCCATCTTTGAGATTCAGCATGAGAGGCAGTCCTTTAATGTTCTGAAATGTCATTTTTTAGGTGTCTGCACTGAGGTCAGTTGATCTACCGAAGAATTTTAGGCTATGTATAAATAATGCTATGCCCTAGCTTGCAAAATGGTCCATGAAATACCATTTTTTCCTTTATATGGACTCTAGGACCAGACAGCTAAGCTTGACAGAACCTGTTTCAAGTTGCATGAGAATTTAAGGCATAGTTTGTTGAAAGTAGCACTGTTCATTTGTGTCTGACTTTCTAATTCAGGATACTGTAAAGATGACACAAACAGAACTTGCTGTTTGGGTACCTGTCCTTGCTGTGTGAAAGACCAGATGTCCCTCTTGTGGAAAACTTGCTTGTGCTGCCTGGAGTTAGTCTTGAATCCATGGAAGTGAAGGCTAACTGTAAACTGTGTTAGCCTTGCAAGAGCCTGAAACAGTAAGGAGCAGTTCAGGAGTCTGAGTGCTATAGGAGTCTGAGTGCTATAGCTGATGTATACTGCTGTGGTTGTAGGAATTCCTTTGTGGGGTGGAGCTCAGGAGGTCACAGGTGGGAGAGGTTATTCTTCAGAATAAAAGGTTTAACAGTAAAACTTTTTTTTCACCTTATTTTCATGAAATGTTGTATTAGCGCAAATGCACCAGCAGTATAGGCTGCAGCATGGAACCTCTGGCACTAAAAATCCATTGAGAGAATTTCAGAAAAATCTTTTATTTTTTTATTGGAATCAGCATGAATGTATGATTCAATAAATATATTTTATATACATATAACAGCAGAAACTTTACATTCCATCTTCAAACTGCTGAAATAGAACTTCTGTTTTCTAAAATTTTTTACAAGCCAGAAAAATAATCTGCCACTGTTTCTGTGTGGTCATGCAAATTGTATAACTTACAGGTTTATTTTCATAATGATGTAAAAATGCTGCTTTTAAGGAAGCAGTTGCTTTGCACTCTGACCAATGTAGCAAAATATCCTTAAAAGGAGTGTAAGGCCATACCAACTTTTTGTATATATTTATATATATGTATCTATAATAAATTCATATAGAAAAAATAGGGGGTCCCTTTTTAAGTTGGGTAGGGAGAAGACATAAGCACTTCATGATTAAGCTAGTTTATTCTTTTTGAAGAATTTTAGATCCTAAGTTTTAAGCGTAGGTACACTTTATATTCTGTATCTCTCTAGTCCCTCCTTTGTTCTTGAGGGGAGATTAGTGTGAAAATTAATAAGCATTGAGTCTTCCCATTATTTTCTTTCAGACTTGTGTTGTTAATGAACCAGTAGAGGTGCTCAGAGAGCACTTCACTCCTTAACTCTAGTGATTAATCCTTACTCTGTGAATACTTTTTTGATTATCTCTTGTGAAATGTTGATATTTTAGCACCCACCTTGCAAGGAAGAAAATGAAAACTGCTGAGTAGGAACTATTTCAATGCTTGTTTCAAAGAGGCTTATTTGAGGTTAGGTGAGTTTTGTTCTCTTAACAGCAGCTGCCTCTCCCTATATTTAAAAGAGTTGGTTAAACTGGGGCAGGTTTTAATGCCGCTGCTTCCTTCTGAGGTCTCAATAAGACTGAAGAAAGAAAGGAAAACAATCTGACCTTGTTGCCAGTCCTTTCCTGATTATGACCAAGCTTGGAAAATATGTATCCTGGCTTTTAACAAGCAAACACACAAAACTGCAAAAGTAGTTCAAATCTGGATTTAGTATTTACAAAAGAGCGTTGATAAACGGGCTCTGTTGGATGGGTGTGTCAAGAGTGTAATCCTCAGTGGTCTGTCCTGCCCCTTTGCGAGAGGGTCTGTACCCCAGCTGAGATCTTAATCTGTGGTGGCAAACCCTCTGTTTTTACTTTGAGCTCCACTGGAGAGTGGAGGGTGACTGATATTGCCCTCTCTGGGGGGGGACAGTGACTGCTGGCGGAGGGATGGGGCAGCCATAACACGTTACACTGCGGCTGCTAAACCCAGCCCAGCTCCTTTGTCAGAGCCCTTGGCTGTCCCTGGTATAAACAGCGTCAAGGCGCTGCTTGTATTTTGGAACAAATGAGCTTTAGTAAGTCAAGCTTTGGAAACAAAGATTTTCTTCATACAAATGGTTTACAGATGGGGGAGAAACAGAAAAATAGAACAAAACAATGCCACTACTTAATAGGCTTTTTTCAAAAGTTTTTGGGAGGCATTCTTCCTAGATACCGGATTTGAGGGGGGGGGGTTGTTGACCAGTGAGGTGGATAATTCTGGGAAACGGAGACGATGTTTATCAAGGACACAAGGAAAATCTAGGTGCTGAACTGTTCCCACTTCTGTTTTGTATGTTTTCAATTAGAAAGTATTCCTGCTTTGTGTGCGTGTGTATCTCCCCTCCAAAGTAAAATCAAATGTGCAGTGTTGTCCAGAAGAGAAATATGTTGTGTTTTTATTTTTCTTCTAAAGATAAATTCATTTACAAAACAATGTAAATGGGTGTGCGTTTATAGTTGAAAGGGAGGAATTCCTCTGTCCTCCCCTCCTTTTTTATATCACTTGTTTCATTACTCCTCATCTTAGTTTTAATATAATAAGCATGATATGCTGTACACTGTGGTTGGATGTGAGTAGACAACACAGTCCATAAAATATCACTGTCCACAATGATGTTAGCCTGCTTATGGCTGTCGTTTGATCTCGGGCGGGTGGTTACAAACAGCTGCTTGGGACGGGCTTGTGCATCTTCAGGAGTTCAAAGGCTGCTTCCAGAATGGTGTTCACCAATGCTGCAGGGATGGTAAAGTGTGATGAAATGCGCTGTGACCTTTGCATGTCAGGCCATTTTTTGGGTGAAGTCCTTAGTGTGTTGCTTCATCTCTACATCTCGCTATAGATCTCTTAATTCACTGAAGTTTTTACTGTATCTCAAATGCATGTGTGAATAGCTTTTTTAGCACAGTTGCCTTCTATTTCAGTTCTTTTGAAACAAACAGTCGTCTCTTTTTCTGCAGCTCAGTAAATCCATGAAAGAAGAGGTGAGCTCTGGCTATGATTAGTGCTGTCAGTATGTCGTGACCAGACTCAGGAACCGCAAACTTATCTTTTTGCCCATGAATTCCATTTCACAGTAGGCTTGAGATGCTCCAGGCGGTGCATTTTTCAGGATAATTAATTCCACACGCATGTGGTGAGTCAAGTCACTTGGCCTTTGTGCCTTAATGTCTGTGTCTGTCACCTCGTACGCCTCTGGAGTTGGCCTCTGTCTCCTGACCTACTGCACCAGTCGCAGGGAGTGCAGCACTGATTGTACAGCGAGATGCTCTGGCGTTGCAGTGAGCAGCAAAACGGAGCTCAAAGGCAGAGTTCAGGCACAACAGATCACTCTTCCCAGCAAGGAGAAGGTGGGTTACATACCTGTCTTCCAGTTTTCACATAACATCACTTTAGACCTTATTTACTAAAAATTCCAATTTGGATACTCCCAAAGCTGACAGATCCCCAAATTAACCTGCTGTCTTGACCTGATCTAGGAGGGATGTATCAATCATGGATTCGAAATGCATGTGTCTTTCAGCTGACCTGTCAAGTTTAGTCACTCTGCTCAGTGCTGGAGGACTGTGAAGGGGGCATCAACCTCGGGATGGAGGTGCTGTTCTTACAATTCTCCACTTCAAGTAGGTTAATTTAGGGATTTGTCAGCTTGGTCCATGCTGCTTCTGAGCTTCTTTTCCCTGTTTCTAATCTCACCCCAGAATTGCAAGAATTCAAGTGTTTTGGACAAAGAAGCAGATTTGGGAAGAGGGAAACAGAAAGGAAACAGTGCTCTGCCTTTGCCTACACTGAACTTGTAGAGTGTTTCAAAGCCTTCCATCAGTTGTTCCCCAGCCTAGGCAAGCATAAGGTAAAGGAACTTGTGTTCCCTTCTGCTAAGATTTTGTTGGGTCAGCTTGTAGCTGAGCATTTCTTGTTGAGCTGAGCTCTACTGCTGTGACCAACAGCACTGGCCACAATTACTTAAAAGAGTAAGGAGAAGATATAACAATAACCTAACTCATTGGTGGTAGGTTTTTGGTTGTGAATTTTTTTTGGTGGGGAATATTTGTTTTTGGTTTGTTTTTCCAGATAAAAAAATGGGATTGATGGCAAGTGGAGGCATATATCTGATCAAGGACTTGCCGGGGTTGTTCATTGTACTCCTGCCTGTGAAGGCTATCCTGGTGTCCCTCACCAAGTGTGCAGTTGTTCAGGGAGATGCATTTCTAGCACTGTTCCTATGTTACAGAGGCTGCCCCTTCACTTTATTTGTCTGCTGGTTTCTCAAGCTTTTGTTTTTAGAGGTGTCACTGCCCATACTGTACCGTACTACTTCTTCCATGGGACAAGTCAAGCCTCATGAATGATCTTTCCAGCCCCTCAAAGAAAAAGCAGCGGTATTTAAAGCCTCAACTCCCACAAAGACCACAGGGACTGGAGTTGCAATTGTGACTGCACTACAGTGAGGAGCAAGTACTATAAGCTCCTGTGCCTTACACAAGTCTTGATCTCCTCTTCCTTTCTCATTGCTGATCCCTGCCCTCACTCTACTCTTGGGTAGGGAGCTGAACTTTTAGGACTCCTCTACTTTGAACATTGTAGCCTCAGAGGAGCAGAACTGTCCTAGAAGCTGTGGTCACAATTCAGTTGTGGCCATCTGTGGCACATCACAAGCTCCAAAGCTGGCTCCACTCCTCAGGAGCATGTGTTGGTTCTTTATCACAAGCAACTGGGAGGATACTTTTAAAAATGTGTAAGTGCATATCCAGGAGAGGTGGCTAAGGCACCACTCTTGGCAAAATCTGTTCAATATTGCATAGTTTTAGTTCAATAAAGGTCAGTATTTGGGGATTAGGTGTCAAGCAAGGAACAGTGACGCCCAAGCCCCAGTTGTGCTAGCATTGGAAGTCCTGGCCTGTTGATCTCCGCAAGGCTATGACAGGGTAATGCTGATTTAAGCAACACTATTATCAGGCCTCCACTCTAATTGTGACCGAGCATGTCATCACTGCAAAGTTGATTCAGGCTTGAACCTAGAGCTGTAATTTAGTGCCCAAATTCTGTGGTATGCTCAACCCAGGCCCGCTGGCTCAGCTGGTCTGCAGCCTAAAGCTTGATTCATGTTTGTCAGACAAGTAACCCAACAGTGCCCCAGTATCACCAAGTGCCTAAATAAGACAGGTGTGTCCTCCCACAGACCCACCAGGGAAGGTGATTTTTTTTTTTTTTTTTTTTTTTTTTTTTTCACTAAATCCTGGCACCAGCTTCCCAAAAGCCTTAGCAGCAAAAGCTACTTGTGAGCTCTGTGCCCCGCAGACCTGGCAGCTCCAGGCCAGTCTACCTGTCCCTACTTGTGCCAAGCTTGACTCACCTGCCATAGTAATGACACACTTGCAGCTCTAAGCCAGAGCACGTAGTTAAATGATGGCACCTCGTGCCTCAGCCAGTTCCCTGGGTAGGTGAAAAGGGTGTCCTTGTTTGACTTAAGCTACTTATGCAATTCAAGTGGTGAATCTATAAATAAAAGCTAATTTCAAACCAGGCTGATGGCTTATTTATGGTGGTATTATCCTATGCCCAGGAAAAGTTGGATGATTTTATATTTGAACCTCATGTTGGGGACATAGGGTTTTGTATCCTCTCTCCTTGCTGAAAACTACTGCTGTTGGGAAGCTGCTGGGCTCCTTCTCCCTTGTGCTTTTTGTGGCTGGCTTCTCACTGTTGGTAGGAGTAATGGCAGCATTAAGCACAGCCTGCAAGCCCCAGCAGTGATGCTTTTGAGTGCTGATGGGATTGTTAAACCAACATGAAGCCATCCCTGCCTTCCCCCAAAGTGGTAACTTCCCCTTCTGCTGAATCTGTTCCCAGTGCATGCGCTGTCCCTGTGCATGACCTGGGGCAAATCCTGGCTAGCTCCTCTCCAGCACTGCGGGAGCCAGCCCTATCCCAGGATGGGCTTCAGCACTCAGTCTAGAATAGACCCAGGAATATCACAAACATAAGACTCCCTTACAATTTCTATGCAAAAGCCTGGCAGTAAAGTGCATGAGGACTACAGCTTAGGTTTGCTAGACTTGATGGTCATGATTACTTAACACAATGTTGTAATTCCTGCTGCTAGCTTTGACTCTTGCATCATACCTGTTGGCACTGCCTGCCTTGAAAGCCAGGAGAAGATGGTGTTGTGGCAGGAAAACAAACTTCTCCTATTGCTTTTTCCTTTTCCTTCCCCTTCTTTTCTAGGATCCTCTTTGATTACTCTTGACAAGTATTACTTGATTACTCTTGACAAGTAATTTCCTCTGCTAGGTGCTGAAATCATTCCTCTATAGGCTACTGTGTGGTTTGTGTCCTTTACCATGTTACAACACCAGGAGCTTTGGTGCTTTGCTGGCAGCATGATGCTAGGACAACATGATAGGGCAAGTGAGGGTAATGATGAACCAGGATCTGCTTTCTTTCTCCCTGATGCTGCTTTGCTTTCACACAGAGCACAGTCAAAAAAAGACCTTGTTGGCCACCCTTGCATTCCCCAGGCATCCTCTTCATGCACACGTGGCTATGAGAGGGCTTCCCTGGTATATGTTACCCTGCCTGCTTAGGAGGAATGCTTTTCCTCACATATTTTGCCCTGTATTTCCCAAGGCACCCATCTGTGCCAGGCCCTTGAAAGGTTGTGGAGCTGAGGGACTTAGCCCCACAGAAATGAAACTTGAGGTGGTGAAAGAAGGGAGATGGACGCAGGAAAATGCAATATACTTTAATGAAGTAGGAGATTTGTGGAGATTGATTTGAGCAAGAGAAGTGCAACTGCCCTTAAGAAATAATTGTTAAGGAGATGAAGGGCTGGGAAGATTTAAAAGACCTAAAGTAATTTTGAAGATGCTGAAATTATTGAATATTAGTTTCTGCTTTGGTGCTAGTCCTAGCACCATGAAGAACAACCAAGTATCTCAATTTTCTACTTAAATAGTACACTGCCTCCGTACAAATGATGGAAATCTATTGAAGCAGAAGCACCCCAAGATACCCCTTCCATGTCCTTTTGAGAAGAAGACAGAAGAGTGTTGACTGCTTCTTAGCAGGGCAGGGATCAGACCCTTCTTTGACAGAACTGAGCTCTGTGGGATGCTCCAGCAGGACAGGACCTGCTGCTCGCCATTACCCTGGCAGGAGATGCACAATGTCCAGCTGGCAGGCGGTGACCCCAGGGCTGCAGCCACACTGGTAGGGTTGGGTTTTGAGGGGGGAAGGTGTCCATATTGTGTTATTCACTGCTGCTGTTAGCAAGGTTTTGGAGTAGAATGGGGCATTGAAAGAGATTGTCTGTCTTTGGCACAGGGATAAGAACTATGTTTTATTAAAGAATGGTAGTACAGTACAAAAATATGATTGTATAAAATCTGTGAAAAATATGGCACTATTTAAAATAGTCTTTTCTCCTTTCATATGTTCCTTTCTTTTTCAAAAATATATATTGTAAATATCTCTAATCTTTTTTTCTACCAGCATTAGGAAGCCAAGCAAGGTCTTCAAATTACAGTCAAGATAAAGGACAAATGATAGGTAATTTGAATTGTCTTGGGTTTGCCTTAAAATTAAAAATCTTCAGAAGGGGCTGAAGAAAAAATGCCTTCCAGAAAAGTCTGGACAAAACAAAAAAATGTTTCTGTTCACTGGGTATGAAAATATTCAGTATTGGAAATTTTTTTATGCTTTTGGGAACTAAGTCACTTGGCCCTGACCAGCAAAGGCTTCTAGAACAGGAGGAATGAGGGCACTGCTGGACCCATGAAGCGAATGTGACCCTGCCTGTGTGTTTAAAGGCAAGCTGGTGCTTTGCCAGGGTCAAGGCTAAGCCTTGCAGTCTGTAGCAGACCACGTGCTTAATGATCTGTCCTGGCCCTCTTCAGCACCTTTCTCAGATTTCCATGGCACTGGGATCCCAGATGGAAAGCTGCTTTAATCGGGAATTAAAGTGGGAAAAACTCATCTACCTGACAAAAAAAAAAATAGTAAGTTTATTTTACTTTTTTTGTTTCCACAGTTATGTTTATGTATAAGGAAAAATAATTCCTGCTCACAAAGTGATACTTTTCCAGCAACATCTGGAAATAATATTGTTTGGGATAAGGCTCTGTTTTTCCAAAGAGTCCAAGTGAATTGAGTCCCTATTTTCTCTCTTTACTACCAGACTGACTGATGTCTATTTTATTCAGAGGTTTTGCTTCTGAGCCTCGTTCTTAACAAGAGCTAACAATTACTGAGTTAAATTCAATCAGTATGTCTGGAAGCTGCCCTGTGATATCAAATCCTGTGCATTCTTACTAATAAATGTAATTGCTGGCACTATTAAAGCAGCCTACTTTGAAGATAGGTTATCAAAGCAAGCTCTGTTGCAATACAGAGACTAAAAGCAGTCTAGTACACATGAAAAGTTTGATTTTGAAAACTGCACAGACTTGCCAGGGGCTCCTAGGACAGTCTAAGGTCTTGTCTACATGGTGAATCTGTCTGGCAGGACATCTGTGGGATGGCTATCTCGGCACCACCAGACCTTTGCCAAGACCCCAGCGTGTTTCATCTCGGGATGTGAGTGCTGCACACTCTCACTGTGCAGGCAGCCCTGGGGCTGGAAAATGGCCTAAATGGAAACTGGCTGCTCAGTGAAGAGAAGATAACACTACTGGTGAGCATCAAACATGCCCAGTGGTTGGCAGAGTTGAACGGACACAAAGGCGTGCTGGTAAGCGTGTAATTCTTATTTCAGTCCCTAAACTCCCATGGGCTCCACCCTCAGCTGAAGTGCTTCTGTATGAGCAGGAAACACAAGCATCTTCCTAATGATTTCTAATCCCTAATTTGCCTTCCTCTGGCCTTACTCAATGCCAGAAAGTGACACTGGAGCTCTAGTAAAGCAGTAACTGCGAGTTTATCTGCATCTCCAAGCAGTAAGTCTAGGATGAACAGGGGATTCCTCTTTGGTCTTGAGGTCTTTCTCTAAGCTGGAGCAGAATGAAGTGAGGTGGGAATGGACTCCTTATCTTCACTCTGGTCTTGCCCTTCAGATGTAGGATCAAAACTCACTTGGGTGGGAGGATGGTGCATGGGATTAGTGAACCTACTGGCCACTCCTTAGAGCAGCTCTAGTGAGGAAGGAAACCCACAGCCCTGCAGCTGGCTGTGCCCTCGTGAGCCATCCTGGGTAGCCTGAGAAGTTGTACAAACCACAACAAGTGCAAGGTCTGGGCATTGAGGCAGGACACTTTTTTTTTTTTTTTTCCCCCCAAATGACAATGATTTGCGGTTGTTCCCGTGCATGAGCAAGGAGCTGCGGCGCATGGGCTGCCAAGCTTCTGCCCCGCCGCTGGGCAGGGAGGGGAATTCCCTGGGTTTGCTCTCTCATCTCAGACAAGGACACGGCGTTTAAAGCAATCGCACAGCCCGCAGTTGGCACGACCGCCCGTCGCGCATGCAGGGAGAGTTCAATAATTCAGCAAGCAAAACCAGAGCCAGCAGCAGACTTGGGCTCCAGCCAAGACTCGGAAAGTTGTCCTAGCATCAAATAACGCCTCTGCTCGACAGCTTGAGATCTCCCTGCTTGGGAAAGTACTGTCTGCCAGGGGAAGAAGAAATCCTCAGCCCACAGGTTTTCTGCTGCTCTGATGGAGGGAAGGGGCTGTTGTACTGGTTCACACTGGTGTATTGTGTGCTCTTTCCCTGTCTCAGCAGTGCAGAAGGACATGGAAAGCTCAGTGGCCTTTGCCAAAACATTAGGAAATGTTGCCATTTGCCCTAGTCCACACAGTGACCACAATAGTTTTTTAATCCCTTTTTCTTCTTGTTGTTATCCTTGGTTTCTTTTTCTTTCTTTTTTCTTTTTTTTTTTTCTTTTTTTTTTTAAATAAAGTGTATTTAGTGCTGGTGAAAGGTGCTGAACTGGCAGCCTCGGAGATGGGTATCCCTCTATCCAGCCCAGGAGAGCCCTGGGCTTTCTCCTCTTGGCCCCACGCCTGTGCTAGGAGAGTTTGCAGGTCCCCATTCTCTCCCACCCTCTCCTAGAGCTGCCTCTTGCTGCACTGGTTGGGACACCCATGGCTGAGTATAGACTCCCACCTCCTGTCCCAGGCTTGGGTGCTGCTGACCTGGGCCAGACTGGACTGGCCAGTGCTGGAGGGTACTTTGCTGTGAGCTGTCCCAGCTGCCATGGATGATGCAGCTTCTGGAAGCAGGAGCCTGTCTGTTCCCAGAGCAAGCATCAGATCTGCAGTCCAGTCCAGCTGTGGTCTGGCCCTAAGTAGGAGACTGGGGAGAGGAAGGAGAGGGAAAGCCCTGCTTTGGGTGTCACTTGTCTCTCTGCCTTCATCTGGTGCCTAATCCTGACCTGACCCCAAGTGCTTCAGTGCAGACTGATTGTCTCTTCCTTCATGCTCTTTTACCTGCCTCGCTAAAGTGCAAATGAACACAACTAAATCACCATGGGTGCTGTTGCCTGGCTCATGCCCAGGGTCCCAGAGAGGCAAGTGGGGCATCAGGACCTTGACTTGCCCATACCAGCCCTGAGACAGGCTTACAAATAACACCCTGGAGGCATTTGGTGTGTTCCCCCCACCCCCCAAAACACCAATGCCAACCTGTGCTACCACTTGGCAAAAGGGAAACCCCTTTGCTCGTGTATTCCCACCGCCCTCCCGCCTTTCCCTGTCCCCACCAAACGGTGACAGCCTCCCCTGGGACTCTGCTGGGCAGGAGAGAGGGGCAAAGCAGCCTGCTCCATCTTCCCATCCACATTAAAGCTAAATGCAGCACCAAAACAGATACAAAAATAGAGTTTTGGGTCCATCGGCCCAGCTTCACTATTAATATTACTGCTATGAAATGTCTGAAAATAAGAGCTGCTCTCTCTGTACACACCTTCCCCCCTCCCACCCCTTACTGACAGTATTGCCGTTCGCCCCATCTTATCACAACAAAGCACGAATATGCCTGTTTTCTCTATATTTTAAATATAATTTAAAATAGAATTTTAAATATAATTTAAAATAGAATTTTAAATATAATTTCTGCTTTAACTCATTCAACACTTCCATCCCCTCATTGTAAACAAACATGGCAGAAAGGGGTTTGGGAAAAAGAAAAAAGCCGTTTTAAAAATCCTTCATCATTTCTAGTGCTCTGAATAATATTTCTACCTCCTGGGACTTGAATCCTGTTAGGTCATTTAAAAGGACAGAAGGTACCTGCAATTTCTGATGAAGGCCCTGATGTCCTTCTCGGGTTTCCCATTGGATGCTCTCTGATGGAGATGAGAGAGATAATGTATTTGCTTTCCTCTATCCAAAAGTCACAAAGTGTTTGATTGGCAAACCCGTGACTAAAAAAAGTAAATATATAAAATAAACAACAACCCACAGCCTCTTTCTTAAGTTTCCCCGTCTATCCAGTTTTCAAAGTGCAAAACCTAGAGAAGCATAAAATGATTTTCTTGTGTGTGTGTTTTGTTTTTTTTTTTCCTTTTGTTAGGGCTTTTTTTTCCCTACGTGCTTGACTGGTATGGCCTTTCTATAGCAAAAGTCAGATAAAGCGTAATTGCAGTCATTTCTGCACATGGAATTATGAATCATTCCAGTGACTTGAGAATCTAAGCTGTTAATAGGCTAAAAAAAGGATTTTTTTATCTTTTTTTGGATTGTTTTCTTTTGCATTATAATTAAGCATGAATATATATTAATATATTACACTGCTTGGATTGCAGCTGGAGCAATCCAAACCTTCCTATGCTGTAAAACTAACCCCCACCCTGCACTCCCAAGATCAAGAGGGTTTTTTCTCCTCCCTGTGCCAGTTATCCTCTGTTCACATGATTTGAAGTCCCTCCCAGCCCCCCTCCCCATTTTTTTTAGTAGATATTGCCACATTCTTAAATTCATGCATTGCTGCATTGCTATTGCACATATATAAAGGATTGCTCGCTCCCTCCCAGCTGCTCCCCTTCCCTCACTGGTTGTGCACATCCTCTCTGCGGACGATCTTGTAGATGATCCAGTAGAAAATGTTGAAGATCAGGAACGCCATGGGGAAGCCGATGCGTGAGATTTTGTCGATCTTCTTGGCTCGCTGGATGAAGAGCTTTCGCATCTCCTCGGGGGAGCGGGACGGCGGGGGAACCGGGTTGGCTGTATTGTTGTTGTTGGCGCCCTTGACAGAGATGCCGTCCTTGGCTTGTAGACAAGCTGGTCCCATCCCGTAGGCAGTGAAGTTGAACCTGCCTTCACCAGTTTCATCCTCCTGAAACAGATTCAGCATGGGACTCTACTTAAAATAAGATATAGACAGTGCACCCTCACTATAAGGCTCTCCACCGACAGCTTCCTGCTCTGCAAGGGTAAGATGCCTCCATCATGCCCCGGCCTCAGTGCCCTTGGACAAACCCTCTGCTCTTGGGAGATCAGCCTTATAGAGGGGTGCCAGCTGTGTGCTGCACAGATGCAAATCAGGGGATCCAGGCACCCCACAGAGAACAGGACTGACTTCCACCCCATTTGGGTCTTTGACATACTTGAAGGGTTTATGGTACTGCTTTCGTTTTTCCAATTGCATCCCCTGTTTTGCTTCTGCCTCTCCCTCCCCCTCACTCCTATCAGCACCTTCTTTGCTTTGCCTGTGCTGGATCAGCTTGCCCAGAAGGAGTGGGCTCCATGTAACTCACGTAGTTGAATCTGCAGCGTGAGAATTCCTACCGAGTTACATGGATGTGCAGGCGCCGAGACCTGTCCAGGAAAAGACCTCTGCAGGCAGCGTGCAACCAGCCCTCTGCTCGCCTGCCCGTGGGACCCCTGAGCCCCTCAGGCCATCTTTTAGGTGAGGAACAGAAGTGCCCTTCTGTGGGTCAGCAGCAAGTCATGGCTGCTTGTGTTAATTCCAATTACTGAGCAAGAGAAATAATTTAGTTTCCAGTCTAAAAGCCAATGCTATTGCTGGGTTTTGGTGACGGCCTTTCAGGCTTCTCAGAATGATTTAGCCCTGTTTTATTGAACACGGGGATGTAATTTGGCCAAGTCTGGCCAAAATAATGCAACCAGTGAGTTGCAGAGGCAGGGTCAGAAACCCAAGTCTACAGGTCACCGAGCCTAATTGTTAGACCAATGACACTAATTAAATGTCACAGAGGCTGATCCATGCTGTATCCCCCAACTCTGAGTTACTGGCCCCCTCCCTCCTAACCCGCCAGCCCGATGTGCCCTGCTGCCCCTTCCTCTCTCCTTTGCAGAGTGTCTTTTCTGGATGGCTCCTGTATCAAGCAGGTAGCTGCATGGGATGGAGTCACTGTGCTGGGGTCTGGGGCAGAGAAGCAGAAGGCAGAGCACACTGGTATATCTGAGCAAAGCAAAACATCCCAAATAAAATCAAACTGTTGTTCTGGGGAGATTGGCAAGCTGGTGAGTTGTGTGACCTACCAGCAGGTTTATTTGTTTCAGAGTCCTTGCTGAGACAGTTTTGCAGGCCTTAGGATAATTCTTCCCTACTCTGGTTGTGTCCTCTTGGTGTATCTCTGGTAGCCCTTAAATGTCGTTGCCTCCTAACAATGCCTCTGCAAGGGGGCAGTGTTCTGGTTGGAGAAACTGAGGCACCAACAATTAAGACCCAGCTGCTCTCAGGGCTGGGTGAGTCCAGGTGCTGAACATCTAGTAAGAGATGCTTTGTGAGCTGAGAGTCAAGGTTCACAGAAACTCTTCTCTTAGCTCCCTTGGAGAGTTTTCTCAGTTTAAAAGTTGATTTTCCAATGATAGGTGATGCAGAAATTCTGCTTTTCAGGCGGCTAGAACCTGCACTGTGGATGAGGCACTGGCAGTGAGGGTGGGTGGGGACCTGGAGGGGTACAGGCTGCAGGGATCACTTCTGACCCTCCCGCTGCCTGGCGATCAGCAGATGCCTTTGGCCATGCTGCCAGCTCCTGGCACAGGGCAAGGCAGGAGCCCCAGGCGGTGGCACTGGGGACTGGCATCCCTTGGTTCTGGGGCAACAGGGGGAGTTTTGCAAAGGTCTGTCTCACTCCTGACTTGCCCCCTTTCCTTAACTGGACTCCTTTGAGCAGCTAATAATGGGTGCTTGGGCTGCAAAGGTCTGGCTTTCTGAGCTGCTCGGAGCTTAGAGACCTCTTCATGTGTTTGTGTTATGGGGGTCCAGGTAAGGCTGCCTCTGCTCTTCTCTGGTTGCACAAACACACATGCACTGACACATGTCTGGCTGTACACTAAATTACTTAATTCCTTAATTTACTGAGTTTCTTTCTCTTCTCCTTGCTGAGGGGCCACTGGGTGTTTTCTGTGGCTGATCTGTTTTGTGTGAGTGCCGTGCCTAGGACAGAGCAGCTAATGGTGCCTTTTTGCAATGTGCCATATCAAATGAGAAAGGAAAAGACATGACCAGCCACACTGGGCTGGCTTTCTTGGGCTGGGTTTCCAAAGTGGGTCTGATGATGGTGTCATATTAACCAGACTGGTCCATACCTCAAAGGGACAGTAACTCTCCCTAGCCATCACAGTCCCTGCATCTCCCCAGTCTGCCCCAGTAAATACAGACAGCCTAACGAGTTCAGAGAGCGCTGCCTGGTCGATCCTTCTAGTCTAATTCTTCCCCTCCTTCCAGAGGCAAGAAGAGATGGCTCAGAAATGGAAAGGGCCACATGTATTTATTGATTTGATTTATTTTTTTTTAGAGAGGAAGGGAGACTCTTAATGAATGAGAATAAGCTAGCACCTTGCATCTAACTCTGAGGAAAGCAAGAAACAGATTTGTCTGGATTCACTTATATTAATGCCAGACCATGGCACATTGTCTGGTGCACTGAGCTGTGAAGAATGGCTAGTAGGTTCTGATTTGGGCAGACCTAATAAGTGTGGGCATGGGCTGGTCCTCTCCCCAGCTGCCTCCACCAGCATGGACCACTGCAACATCTCACTTGTTTTTAGCTGGCACATCACGCCTAAACCAGGCAGAGCTACCCAGACAAGTCAGAACATCAGGACAGAGCGATTAGTTTTTTTGGCAGCTGCACTAATCCATTTGCATATTTGCAGTCAGCTCCTAGTTTTCTGATGAGCCTGCAAACCTTGTTCATTTTGCTTTTGCAAGTGTTTTTGTTTATGCTTTGTTCCAATTAAATTGCTGTGAGATTGGGCAAGGATTGCAATAGCAGCCTTGTGTTCAGTTGAACATCTCTGGCAAATATCTTTTAAACTCATCTCTATATTAGTGGCTTTTTTCTCCTTATTGTTTTATCAACAGACTGATCTGCATACAACAGCATAGATTAAGAGACAGGATGCCTGAATCTAGATGAAGAGATAAAAGCACTACAAGACACCCACGTTGGGTGGTTTTAGCTTTGACTCTATTAAGCAGGCTGCATCTTCTGAACCAAAACAGCCTCAGCTGATTTGGAGATGTCAGGGTCTTGCTCTGGCCAGACAAAATCAATGGATGCTGATGGTCTCATCTGTTATTTCTTTTCCCTTGCATTTGTCCAACAGTTTTCATCCCTGATCCTGACTGGGTTGGGGACAAATGGACAACTTTCCCCTGTTTTGCAGATAGGTCAACTGAAGCAGAGAGGCAGATCTACAAGGAGACAGGGATTCCTGCTCCTTAGCCCCCACTGCCTCCTAGAATGGTGGCAGTTCTCCAGGCACACATTGTGAACTGCTGTAGGACAGGTTAGACCCTGGGAATGACTTTTAATGGCTGGGACAGTGAAGCAGTGGAGTGAAGGGGGTCTCTGGATGGGATGGATCACAGAGAGTTCTTTAAAATAGAGGATAGACAAATACCTATGAGGAATATTTTAGGCAGACCTTGGCGGTCTCTTAGGGGCTCTCTTGAGATTTCCATCAGAAAAAAATTCCGTGGGTTTTTTTTTCCTTAGCAAATGTACTCTTTTCTTAATGCTAGCTTGGGGGCAAACTGTCAGGCCTGGTGCTGAAAATTTGATACCACCTACCTGATTCTACTAGTTAATTAAGGACAATTTTAAAGTGCCTCTGGTCTTGTGATCACAGTCACCTTTATGTTTCTTTCCAATGCATCCTGTGAGGTGAAATCTCTGCTGTGGTACCTCAGCCTAAAAGCTACTAGAGTCCAGGCTGCAGGAGATGAGTATCTATGTGATGCATTCGTGCTCGTATTGGCATCAGTCATGGCGAGTAAGCATGGAGCGAGGCTAAGGTTGAGAATAATGCTCTTTCTTTTTGAGAGGAGTTTGCAGTCTGAGAAGCAGATGCTTTTGAACACAGAGATGACAAAGATAAAAGAGGTGTCACTTACCTCCGGGCTAATGTAGACTGTTCTCTGATAGACATCCCTCAAAACTCCCTGCCTGCCTCCCCCCAGCCCTTGCTGTGTCTTCTGAAGAGGAGAACTCAGACCAGAACATTGCTGTGTGAAAATTGTTCTGCTGACAACAACCCTTTTGGCTTAGACCACTCGGCTAGCAAAAACCAGCTGCTCCTGGAGTCAGCAGACTGTTAGAAGAGACAATTTGTTGAGGTAGCCCTGCTTTTTGATGTGTGACCCTCTTTAACATCTGACCATATACTGAGGACTTCACTGGGAGCTAGTGGCTTGGTTCAATTGGCTGTGTAGTGATGTTCTGCTGGGACAGGTTTCAGTTGTGTCCTTCATGCTTTATGTATTACCTTATGATGCCTCCTCTTCCTTCTGAACCTGAGCAGCTCTTTGTGCTGCCGAGACACGAAGTTGACGGCAGCATACTCTAGAAGAGCGGAGAACACAAACAGCAAGCACACGGCCATCCAGATGTCTATGGCCTTCACATAGGACACCTAGGAGTCAGAGAGAAAGGCTGACACAGGGTGGCTTCTTCACCCAAATGCCTTTTTCCTTGCTATTTTACATGTTTCAGGGTCTGTCTTTGGAAGGAGTTGATCAAGCCATGATATAGTTGACATCTGCTCTTGTATACCAATATCGAACTCATTTAATATGAATGTATTATCAGGCCACTGAATTTGATCCTGGGCTCTTAAGTAGCAATAATTCCACAGTTTTAAACTTATCCAGGTCTTGACTGTGATGGTTTATAAGCAAGGAAAATAGTAATTCAATCTGATCATACCAGGAACTCTTAATAACATGGAAATTCAGTACTATTACAAAAGTATGATGGTCAAGTGAGTAAAAAGCTAGAATGTAAAGTGCATTATCCTTGTGTGGTTGTTGCAGGGGTTTGTAAGGTACAGAGCTCCTGGCTACTGGGAGCTGTGGTGGATCTTGAGGTGAGTGCTAGGGAAGCTTCACTGATAGACATAGCAACTCTGCTAAAACTTTTGCAGGAGGGGACTGGAATTTGTTCTGCTTGCTCCTAAACTGCAATAGTGCAATGGCAGCAGAATCTCCTTGAGTAGGAGGATCTATGTGGTGACTTACTTATGTGCTATCCCCAGAAAGTGCACATTTTGCCCCTCTGTGAAGATAAGTGTGTTCTGTACCTTGGGCAGTGATGCTCGGGAACCAGAGCTCTGCGTGGTCATAGTGAGCACTGTGGTGATCCCCAGGCCAACACGAGCAGGTGCAGCATCCATATTGATCCAGAAGGAGATCCAGGAGAGGATGACAATAAGGAGGCTGGGGATGTACATCTGGATCAAGTAATAGCCCATCTGCCGCTCCAGGTGGAAACGAGCTTCTATACAGGTGAACTTGCCTGAGAAGGATGGGAAATACATGGAAAATTACTGATAAGGCACAGTGAGCCTCCTGGTTTCAGCTATTTTATGGGTACTTTCCTTGCATTGTCTAGAACCAAAGTCTTGTTAGAAGAGGAAATTAACAGCTATTGTCCAGTTCTGAAATATGAGTGTACTATATCAACATAGCAAAGAAAGCTCTTGACAGTATGTTCTTTGTCACTTAAATTTAATCTGCTCCCTTGCATCAAAGACAAAAGAAGACACTGGAAGAGAAAGTCCAGACCAAACACCCTTGAACTGATGCAGATGTTACTGGGGGCAAGAGGGTTCCAAGCATTTGTGTCTATTAGCTTTTTATCGGCTGTATATGCGTATATTTACTGACAACATATCTATGTGTATTCATATGTACGTTGTCCCTGGCTGTACAGAACAAGGCTTATATCACCTGTGCCATCAGACGTAGCAAGAGACTCTGGCAAATGCACAGTCCTGAATTCCCCTCTAACGAACCCAGCAGCTAAGCGTAAACAGCACTGACCTGTGTTGTAGTGTTTTGTGCAGTATCTCAAGTCTTTTTCTTCTTTGAGTATGAACTGAGGCAGCGTCAACCCATCAGCAACTTGCACGGCTCCTTTTTCTTGCCACTCAAATATGAGATCATTCATTGTGTAGCCAACTGTTGAGAGGAGGGAACGAATACCATGTGAAACATATTAAATACTGATCTGGAAAGAGACAGACTTTTAGAAGAGAGCTATACTTGGAGACAGGGGTTTATCCTGGCCTTCCTTAGAAATGCTGTAATGAATGGGATTTGGGTTGAGGCAAAACTGCTTGTATGTGTGATAAAAGCTAGGGCAATGACCTGCACTGGAGCTGTGATGGTGTGCAATGAATTGTCTGCAATAAATCATATTTTTTCTTGGATTTGGCTTATTGAGCTGTTTGCTGATTTTTCAGACTTGACCTCCTTCTCTGAAAGAAGTTGCTCATTGTCTTTCCCTCCTTTGGGATAAGCAATGCAGCTGAAAGCACTTTCACCTTTCTCCTCCAAAGTGAAAGGCCAATGTAAATACAACCAAGCCAGGGTTCCTCTCGTGGGATCTGTTAGGGTTTGGCTTTTCTACAAAATGTCACATGTGCTGAATGAATGGAAAATCCTGAGCAAGGGGTTCTTGAGCAAGTCTCCAGTGAAGGCTGAACTGGGACTGGACTGCAGCTGGGGAGAGAGATGGCAAGGGAGAGGGAAAACACATTGTCTCCTCTCCAAAAAGGAGATGTGCACAGGACTCACAGCTTTCCAACTGCATGATGCACGTCTGTACGTCCATGGGGAAGTTCTTCAGGTCCATGGGGCAGGCCAGAGTCAGCGTGATCCTGAGGAGAGAAGGCAGCACAAGGGAATGTCAAACAGTTCGTGGCACTGATGAGGGGGTGAACCCTCTCAGGTTCTGTCTGCAACCAGGCTGGCACCTTGCCTGAGACACAGGGGTGTGCTGGGGGAGTGACTGATCAGTCACCTCTTCCCTGCCTGCTTTTTTCACATGTGGTGTTGGAAAGCATCAGAAATGCCAAGCGTTTGGGTCTGTGATATAACTCCTGGCAGAGTTGTCTGTTGCAGATGGCTTTTTATTACAATGTTGTTTTGAACTGAGCAGAACAAAGGGTTCCCACACCAAACAGTTTTGCTGCTTCGGTCTTCATTTCTTGCCTCAAGCTCACAACAGTTTGGATTAGCAGCAAGCCCGGCCCGTTCTCTGGACCCCCGCAGATGCATTTCTAGAGACCAAGACTGTAAATCTTTAAACAGAAAATTTCTGTGTCAGAAAAAAACAAATAAAGTTTGGTCAAGATTACACACTGCGGTGGGGGAAAAGAGAGACTTTAGTGGGATTTTCTGCAGGGAAAATGCCCTGCGGTAAGTCAGTATGGACCTCTGTATCTTCCCAAATTCCTGCTGTGCCTCTTGAGATCTCTACTTCTGCCTCACAAGCTACATTTTCCACTAGGTGCAGGCTGAATTTTCTGTATCATATTGCTGTGCTGCCTTATACCATGATCTATACTCAAAATGTTTGTTTGGTTCAACAAGCTGATATTGAACAATTTGATTCAGATAGCTGGACTTCCATAATTTGGTTTGATAATGTTGAAAACTATGTTCCCTGAAGTGTTCAGGTTCTTCAGCTTCTTGCCTTGATGTAGAAATAGTGGCATTTCTTGGGGAACAGGAATTGAACTTTTCTATCAGCAGACCTACAAGAAACAACAGGAAGGAATGATACTTCAACTTAAATCCTTGTGTTGGAAGAAATATTTGAGTTTAGAGGCATGCTGGGACAGAAGATGTGACAGCAGAAAGAACGCAATTCAAGTTTCCTCTTTATGAAAGCAACTACATTTTCTGTATTTAAACAAACACCTCACTAGAAGAGAGTCATCACTGGCCTTTGCTCGCTTTGTTTTTCTCATCGCATCGCTGGCAGGGAACTCCATCTCTAATCAATCGGATAAGCCTTCAATTACATCTTCAGACAAGCCCCTTGAGAAGAATTTACTGTATATATCTGCCAGATATGAAACAGGGGTGACTGTGGCTATGACTAGGTCATGAGATGCTGAGCACATGCCGGACAATTGTGTGCTGAGAAGGGATCAGAGTGAACTCCTCAGGGGTGATTTTGGGTGAACCCAGTGCTGAGCATGCTGACTCTTGGCTCCATGGGACAAGTCCACCTTCTTGTAAGTGCCTTGACTAGAATTTTTCTATTGCAAATAGTAACAGCAAAGAGCCAGTGAGAAAATGGCAGAGCACTTTAGATGGAAACTGTGTTTTAAAAGGAAAAGACTATTTCTCCTTTTGGAAACTCTTTGCATTTACATTGTGCTCTTCCATCATGAATGTCCTCATTCTCTTTGATTTTCACCAGAAAACGTACTTAAAAAGAAATCTGTATTTTCATTTGGAGATGAGGGAGATAGGAATTTAAAAAAACAAAACAAAACAAAACAAAACAAGAACTGAAGTGTTTTCAAGTTTTTGCCTTGAAAACAGTGATCGGGTCAGCCACATTGCTCCGTTTCCCCTGCTGAGTTGTTGCTCTGTTTTGCAGAGCAACCCCAGGGCTGGGGTGACCCCTTATTCCCCCTCTGTGCTCCTGCAAACCCACCTGGAGCAGGGCTATGTGCCATGATCACTGCCCAGTTGCTGGTGGCAGTTTTACTACATGCCTGGTTTTAGAAATGGAGAATGTGAGGTTTCTTCATTCAGCCACATGCCTGGCAATTCTCTTACTGTTTTGGCCATCGGGGAGCTGGTCTTTGGGCTGGAACCGCCTTGATGTTTGATGGAGGCTGTCTACCTTGCAGCATTAAGCTCTTTCCTTTCCATTTTACAGCTCCGTGCTGCTTTTTTCTTCCCCATGGCTGTCACTGGGAGCGGCAGTGTGAGATAGGGTGTGCATACGTTAGGCAAATTTACATTATACATGAGGTGAAAAAGTCTTTAAGATAGAGTTAAACTTTCCTGCTTTAAGCTCATGAAGTTTGGTCTTAATTTCATTGGTTTAAAATAAAGAATGGATGGGGTTGGAAGTAAAGTGAAGGTGGGGAATTGGATTGATTTCCTGTGGGAAATTCAGTGCAATTAGTTCAGCTTCACTGATGGATTCTTGGATCTAGCAATGAAGGGATAAATGGGAAGAGTTATGGTGAGACAAAGACATGGACCAGTACTTAGGAGTTTCCCTAATTTTTTGTCAGGAAATGCTGCAGCTTTCAAAACGGAGTTTTCATGGACTGTTTTCAGGCTTGTGCTAGTATATCTCAAGTAATTTTACACTAGGGATGTTAAGGAATCTATTAGTGAGAAGCAGAAGTCTCAGACTGAGAAAGGTAGAGATGAGCTAGATTCCTTCCCAGACGAACCCTCTGTCTTGATATGCTTTGGCTAACACATTCCTGGTCATTACTTTTCTACCTGTTGTACAAGCAGTAGCAAGTGGCAACCGTCTGGCTGAAGTACTGACATCCTTCTGCTCCAACATGATTCAACTACTGATGTAAGGAGGCATTTCCCAGCCTCCTTTTTTTCACTCCAGTTTTTTCTCTCCCTCCTTCAAATTAAAATGTTTCTGAAAGTAAGTACCTTAGGCATAGCTTTGTCTTAGCAGGTCTTGAAGATGGAGTACTGCCAGGCTGCCCAGTACTTTTGGATGGGCACCTTCTTACTTAATGATGAAGAAAAATAATGATGTTCCTCATGCTTTCTTTTAAAGGGAAACTACTAATGTGAAATTAGGACTTGAAGCTCAGATAGCTGGTGGCACATTCTCAGAAAGATTCCACAGTTTTGACAACCTCTTCTTCTTGGGGTGGCTGGAGAAAGACCTCCTGACGTGCAGCACATTACTCTGCTCCCACAAGGATGTGCTTACATGTGCAAACAGGGAACTGTTTATCCCACTGCTCTTAAGCAAAGGTTAATGCTGGATATAAAGGTCTAGATGAGGGAATTGGTTACCGACCTGTTTCTTTCTTTTAGCTTGTGTATTTAACTCAAAATCATTGACACAATATTGGCTAGGGAAATAAGGATGTGTTTCACTTCTCAGTGATTTTTGTGCAGAGGAATCAGCCCCAGAAGGAGGATGAAACACTGGTACAGGCTGCCCAAAGAGGTCATGGGATCTCCATCTGTGGGGTATTTCAATTTGGCCAGACAAAGCTGCAGCTGATCTGTCTTGTTGTCATTGTCAGGATGAGGTTGCATGGGAGACCTCCGGAGGTCCCTTCCCACCACATTGCTATGACACTGCTAATTGTATGATCTCCTACTTTAAACCCCCCTCAGTTTCTTTTATCAGATGGCATTCTCAAAGTCTCATTTTAGGCTTGAACAGTGGGAGTTTAGCTCTGCCCTCCCCTACCTTGGTGGAGCTCTTCTCATTGAGTCCTCTCACCTGATGCTGTAGAGGACATTGCCATTTCTGGAGATTCTCAGGAGCTTGTTGTCTGTGGTAATCTCATGGAAATGGGCCCCTTTCTCATTTGCAAAGAACAAGTCAGGCTTCCAGATGGAGTCCAGCATAGAGGGGTCCAGGTCCAAGGAGTCATCAGGGTATTCATTGTACGCCAACCGTGGGTCATTCCATTGCTGTCGCAGGAAGATGTTCACCCTGTAATCCTGAACAGTGTAAGCAGGGAGCAGAGAAACACAGTTAGTGCTCAAAGCAGGCTGAAAGTGCTGAAAACTAGGGAGCATGTACTAGAATAATTCTCAAAACCAAACCATGCCTAGGCCTACATTCCCAAGCCATGACAAGCCTTTTTCCCTTTATTTCTCAAGGACCTGTTGTTAATTTTTAGCTCTGTAGCTTACAGCTATCTCATAGCATGAGCAGCTGCCTAACCTTGCATCTCTCTGTCACAGCAGTTGTCAGCTGTGTGTGAAGTGTCAAGACCTCAAGTCTGAACCCCCGGGCTGGAGAAGTGATGTTCAGTTGCGGAGGCTGTAAAGGCTGGTGTCAGCAAGACAACTGTTGCAGAGGATTAAGGGGGAAAGAGACCAAAGGCAACTTCCTTTCAGTGTTGAATCATCCCGTATTGTGACTATCTATGATTCCTCCAGACTTGTCAAAAGAAAAGGCACAGTGAGACAAGCAGTCCATGGAAGGGATATTCCCTGTGTGTCCACTAATATAAGGGTAACTCAGATGGACTGATGGGAGCAGCTGCACTCGGTGAGAGTACGTGAACATGAGAGGGATGTGCACGTAGTCTACTCTCCTAATCCTAAGGGAGTGTTCTGGATTCTCCTCTCTAATGTCAAAATGCCATAAATGCTACAGATTTTATAGGACAGTCATCTTTAATTGAAGCTAGTCCTGAAGCACTATGCAAAATGCTATCTGCCTCATAACTGCGTGTCTTACAGCTCCCCTGAGTTCCCCAGGCCAAGGCTGGCTCCTGAGGTTGAGCTCAGACACTTTCCTGGACTATTAAAGGCAGTTTCTGTTCCCCCTGTCTGACCAGTAGCTTCCCAGGGTGATGTGTGTGCCCCTTTTCTGCTGACTTTCACGTAAGAAAATGAGCCAACAAATTGAAATGGAGAGAGGACATGCCAGCTATCAGGAGAGGGATAAAAGCTCCATGTCCATAAATTAATTGACATTTTCTAAGTATAGAGGCAGACTGTCTGAAGAGCAGAATATAATAAACCAATTTCACTGCCCTGGCCCAAACTAATAGTTGCTATCATGATTAAGGGTTTCTCTGGTGCCTTTCTAACACTAATGTACTTTGAAGACTTTTATGAAGAGACAATTAATGGACGGTGTCTGACGTGCTTGCTGGTATCTAATACCTGCTGCAGGCACTGGAACCTTGATTTCAGTGAGGCTATTTGGCACCTCTGAGGGGATCTCCCTGACTCCCTCAGGTCTGTTCTTTCCATTTGAGAACACAAAGCTCTGAAGGGTGCATGTGGGGGACAGTCTTTCTGATGTTGCTGCCTCAAGTGCTTGCTTGAGTATGAACCTACAGCCTCTTGTCCAGGAGGACATGACTTCTGTGAAGTCCAGTCACACTGGAGGGTTTGGCTTGTGTCTTGTGTGCTTTGTGGGATTTTTGGGGGCAGTTCGTAGCTAAGCCCATGGTCTAGAATCTGTTTCAAGCCACTTAATGCCATCCACATCCTCAGAGCACAGAAGCTGCTAATGACATTAATGATTGTGACAACAGCAAATGGACCAAGGACTTGATGCTAAAAGGAGCAGACTTCTGAACATGAAAAAGAGTTGCAGCACTCTCTCCTTCTGCTGATATTCCGAATGTCACCTTCACAAGTCCTAGTCAGTCCCGCTGATTTAATTATTCATCTCTGTCCACCATGCATAATGTGTCTTGAGAAAATGTGAATAGCAGTGGACAGCTAGGAACCAGGGTCTTAGCTCAGGACTAGACAATCATGCAAACCTAAAGACAAAAGCAACCCTGAATCTCCACTTCCCATGGCACGCAGCAGCTCCTGGAACAACTTGTACACTTTCAGTTCTCCCTTTTCTGTGTATAAAGATCTGCAACCATTGCAGTCAGGGGAAATCAATGTCACTGACCTAATAGGTAGAAAGCAAAAGGTTGTTTTGCTTATTCAGCTACAAATAAGCTGGATGTTAGCAGGTCAGCTCCAGTTGGGGGCTTATGTCATGTATAACACAAATTAAACTCATGTTTGGAAGAAACTTCAGTGGTAGCTGCCCAGAAGTGTTCTCAGCTTGATGGAGTGTTGAAAGCAGGGGGGGGGAAATGGAGTCAATCTCCCTGTAACAGCTTGTGTTGCTGTGGATAAGCTTTGTTGCTGGAGTAAACTCACTGCTTTAGCTTCAAAATTCGTTGAAAGGAAAGGGTGAGAAGAGAGGTGTAGTGTGGTTTATGTTGCCACCACAGCAATTGTGGCAAATATGGCATTAGAGGCCCTAGACAGAATGATTACCATAGTCACCATGATGATGGATCTTAATCACATGTTTGTGGGCCAGATGAAAAATAACTTCTCACAGCAGACGGCTGTGAGAAAACTCCTCCTAACTCATCTCCAGAGATCAAGTGTCCTGTACTCATGTCCTGCGTGGGGACAGTCCCGGGGCATGGCGTGGACAGGTGGTGTGAGAGGCTGCCCTACCTCCCTCCAGGGGATGTTCATCAATGTGGTGAGTAATGCTGGCACGAGTTTGTCTTTGTGCTTCTCCTTTGGAGACAAGTGTTTGCAGCGGATATTTTTTTTTTTCTTTTGGAATATAGACAACTGAACGTTTATGTTGTGATATAAAAAAGGCAAGGACAAAGAAATATAATACACGCACTGAATGTAATTCTCTGGCTTTGCCATTTTATGGCATTAGTATTTCACCTCTCTGCGCGTGTGTTTATGAAGATCTTCCTTCTCAGGGGGTTTATTCCACTGGCCTGGCCTGGCTACTGAGAATGGTTGTTTCCTCCCATACGCCTTTTCCCTTATGACAGACAGCTGCTTTGCACTGCAGTATTGAAGGTGCTAAGCAGCCTTTTATATTTCTTGTGGCCAGGCTTATTTGAACATAAATGTAGAAACAAGCCCTGTGACTGCAAACTGGAGATGGCACTGCCTGAGGAGCCAGCAGAAGGCATGGAGAGCAAATGGGGCATGTCTGTGGCCATGACACAGGCTAAGATAAGAGTTACAGGATCCTGTGTGTTGAAAGCTTTGTGCTTAGGCATTGCAGTCAAGCTGAGGGGTGACTAACCAAACACTCATTCACTGGCTACCTGGAGATATACAGTATTTCTCCTGGATGCTGTTGTATGAAATCTTAATTAGCATCACCAAGAAGTCCACAGTTATTCCTAAGTGATGGAGAGAACAGACCAATTTCTCATATGAACTTCCAAGCAAAAAAAAAAAAAAAAAAAAAAAAAAAAAAAAAGTAAGTTTTACTGGGGCAGCAAAAAAAAATCTTTTTCCATATCCTTCTTATCACTTGAGTTCCTCATTTGTGTGCCAATCACATCCAAGCATTGATTATCTTGTGCAGCTTGGGAAAGGAGAGCAGCATCTCCATGTCATGAAGGCATTCAGGAGTTTTGTAATTTGGCACAAAGGCATTTTGCTCCCAAGGGTGAAATGACACAGGGCAGGAAGAAAATAACTGAAGTGATCAAAGTAGTTCAATTTGATAATGCTGAAATGAAATTCTGTTTAGTGACCTCGCAAGGAGCCAAGGAAATGGAAGATCATTTGAGACCTTTCCTTCCCAAGATACCAGAGTCTTGGCATCTGATGAAAGTAGGGACGGGCTGGAGGTAGTGCTGTGAAGGAGGGATGGAGGCTGTCGGGAAGGTCAGTGGGTTTCAGCCCCTGATTCAGGGGTTCTGTCAGACTAGCCTCTACACTGAACAGTTTTGCTGAGAGATTTCATTTTGCTTCATTTACATTTTGCTGCTGGAAAAAAAATGTGGTAGAACTCCCTCAGAAGGGGATTCTGGCAGCACACCAAGAAGCAGGGAACAAGGGGCTTTAATAGTATTGAGTTAATTCTCTAGAAAGGGAACAGACAAAGGTTTTTAAGGCTACTTGCCCTACAAAGGAGCACTACAACTGACGAATTGTGAAAAAAAAAAAAAATGCATCTGGAGCTGACCTTTGAAGGGTTAATAAGGGACCTCATTACCTTGCCACAGCTGTAGCCAAGGAGCCAACTTGAAGATTAGTGTGAAAGCCACAGCTGGGCCAAGGGGAGGAGGTGCGGAGGAGGAGGAAGCCTGTTGCTTGAGGAAGGTAGGTGGGCATGTGGTGAGGGAGAGGAGTGGTACTCCAGTGTTTAATAGGTGTGAGGGTTTTGCGCTGGAACCTAAGGCAAAGTTTTACTGGTCTCCCTGCAAAAGGAAGGGAAATTATATCTCTCTAAGCCGAGGATGGAGCTGCTAGGGGGTGGGCTGTACCTAGTATCCTGAATTTTACGATTAGGAGTTTAGTATTGAGGTCTTGTTCAGCTTGGGTTTTGGTTCTTATTTTTGTGTCCTTGTGTTTGAGCTGTGTAGTCCTATTTCATGTTTTGTTTTTTTATCTCTTCCCTTCTCCATTCAGTGCAAAGACAAATTCCACCCACATAGATAGCTAAAACACTGTGGGTTTAACATTGAGACTGCAGCAGACTGAGATGGTGTGAAAACCTTTTCATTTTGTGTTGTGTGACTTGTTATATACTTATCATCTCTGTGGGACTGATGGTTGGCTTTAAGAATGACTGACTGCAGAAAACTGAGCTCAAAGCCTAGCCTTTGCTACAGGCTTTGTGTACTGATACTTATATCTTTCACTAATCTCAGGGTGAGTGAACCCAATATTAAATGTGAGATCCATACACTTAATCAGTCATATTTGCTATCTACTGCACTGTGGCTTGTGAGGCTGGAGTGAATTGCTTAGTCTGTTTTGCAGGATGGTTTGTTATCTCATTGGAAATCTCATATATAGATGTCTCTGAAGAAGTATTTAACATTTGGACAGTTACAGCCTCCAGCATCCCCTGTCTTGAGAACACGCTGGGAGACCAATTGTAGCTGGGTCGCAGCTGGCTGGAAGGTCACATCTGGTTTGCTCTTTTCAGATGGGATAGCTATGGCATGAAAACAACAAAACCAAATCTGCATATATACACCCTCTCTAGGGGACCCTGTGCTGGCTGTTTTGTGGTTTTCTTTCTTCTATACTCTCGTTTGCTGTGTGTGGGTCCTTTTTAAAACATGAGACTGTGAGGGAGGGTTATCTTGAGCACTGACTCCAGCTCCTAACAACTCTAGGTGATGATATAAGAAAAACATTTCTCCTTCTCCATGTGCCTTCACTGTATACAAAATGCTCCCAACTGCCTAAGCCAGGGAAAGAGCCACAAAACTGCAGCTTCCATTGGAAGAGAGGTCAAGGGCATAATTTAATTCCAAGTTTGCTGTTATAGCAGGAAATCTGTGAGATGAAACGCTCACATAATCCTGCCAGTTGTCTTGTGCTACAAAGAAAAGCTGAAGATGGTGCAGTTCATTCACTTAAAAACAAGACCCTGTTTCTTAAGTGCTTGACTTCTGTTTCATTTTGAATGAAGAATTTGTAGCTTTGCTATAGGTTTCTTACTCTGGTATGGCTGGGAGGAAGGTGTTTATGATTTTGAGGAGCAAAGATGGATTTAGGAGTTTGTGGTTGGGGTCATTTGGTTGTTTTTAATAAAAATAAGTGGATAGAGTGGATGGATCTTGCATCTGTCCTTCACAATTCCTTGTTGTTAGATGCACTACTGCAGTAATGCTTTGGGACAGAAGGAGGCTGCCTGTGCTTCTCTGGCTTGGTAATATCTTTCCCCTTGAAGCACTTGTTGGGTTCACAGGGATGTGTTCCCAGTTGCCGGTTCCCTTGTCCTTAGAGCTGATTGCAACTGAGGCTGATGGATATAAGCTATGAGCTGCAATGTCCAATCAATTATATGCAGCACTAGAGGCTTTTATGTTGGGTCTCCAGTTCTGCAGTATGCTTAAAGCTTACTTCCCTCGTTCTAAGTCAGTTCTGCTTTGGGGAATTCAGTTTGGTGGATGACTTTGTTGTGGTGTTTGGGGTTTTTTTTTGTTTTTGTTTTTTTTTTTTTTTTAAATTCCTTCTATCCCTGCAGCAGTTTTCAGGTCTCCAGTTCTTGCCTTATTCATTCAGAATCTTTGTGGGGCAGATATTGGCTTTCTGCCTGCTCTGGGAAGTCTGTTCCTTCTATTGGCCCCAACTCATTATTCTCCCTTCTGAGGTTTGTAGACCCAAGTGGCTGCATTAAATGACTGTTTGTTCTATTTTCCTATTATTTTGTCCTCTTCCTCTACCTTCTATGATGGCTCAAGCTGTAAGTGAGCATTCACCTTCAATTTCTCTAATTCTCTGCGTGGAGAGCTCATGATTTGTGCTAATTTGTGAGACTCGGGCACTGTGAATGTATATAGTAGTGATGGCTAACAGCCCACTATGAAGATATTCTAAAGCCTTCTTTAATTGCACGTGTGGTATCCTTAAAGAGCTGTGACTTTTACTTCAGGTAGTAGTACAATAGTAACTGAGTATAAGATGATGTAGGTTGCCTAATGGTTGAGGTTTAAACCATAATGTTTTTCTTTATTGGTCAGTGAAGCAGCTGGGGGAGCGTTACCTTCATTAGTTCTAGGGGTCAATGATAGACCACTGCTTTCCTTAGAGCAAAATGTTGAATTACCTCTCTCCCCCCACCCCAACTATCTGATCACTTGTTTGAATTCAAAGTAGTCAGGTCTGTTTCAAAATCCCTTCACGATAGGACCTTCTGCCCTTCCCAGAAACTGTGGTGGGGAGCTGACACTGCCTATCTGACCTGCTGCATCATCAAACGGTGGGGAGAGACTGGCTTCTCTGCGGAGTAAATCCCAGGTTAGGAAATCCCAGACTGCTCTAACTTGCTGAGCTCTCATTTTCAGATGTTTCGGTACCTGTGATGCTTGTGTTCTTGTCAGTGTTTACAAGCAGAATTGCTGTCCCCAAAGAGGTGCATTATATTAGGTTGTGTGCAATGCTGTGTCAGCCTGACATCTGGACTAGCTTGTCAGAGCTGACTTGGGTATTTCTAGACAAAGGAATGTGCCCAGAGGGTGTTCTTGGGTTCCCATGGGAATTCTTTCTATGGAAGATCGACTATGAAATGAGTGGCATCTGGAGAGGATAGCAAGTCCCTGCAGCATATCTTGGAGGTGAACTGCATCTCTCTCCCTCTCATACTAGTCTATGCTAATTTTATGGAGCATCCTGCTTACAGGATCCTGCGGCGTCTTTGTACGACTGCTCCGACGCATCTCGCAATGTAGGACAGATATATTGAAAAACATGTCATTGTAATGTGCTCTGTACATTGCACAGGGATCCCTTGTGGGCCTGCCCCTCTCCCTTGAACTCTGCATTGTCTCTGCTAGATTGTGTAGGAACAGAGTATTTATTGCCTGTAACACCAAAGGAGGCGTCCAGTAAAATAACACATTAGGAACAGATGTGTAATTTGGTTCTAGTTCTTTCTCTTTTGCTTTATACAGATGAATCTATGAACACACTTCTCGCCTATGATCTCTGACATTCTGTAGTCTTACTATGAAATGTGTTTCTTTGTGCTTGGATGGAGTAACAGCTTTTTTTTTTTTTTTCTTTCTAATACTGGAACCGTACTGCCCCCAACCCCAAACATTTCCAGAAGAATGGAATAATGTCAGAAAATATTTATAATCCCAGGTATATAGCTGTTTGTCTCCTCTGACAGCGGTGTGCCTGACAAGTAACTTGAACAAGTCAAGGAGTGTGATCTATATGTAAAGCCTATCACATCCTGCCTGAATGAACAAAATACCAGAAGCTGGTGTTTTGCATTCTTCATTCAAAACCTTTCTAGAAAAATAATTACTAAAGAGTAATTAAACGCCATCTTTCTGGATTATCTTTAATTAGCACAGAGGTAAGTCACTGTACCTCCAGAGTTTTTCTTTACTGTTCACTGATTATGCCACAACCAATCTTTAATAGTTTTCAGATGGAGCAGTTATCTCCCGTTCTGGTGATCCTCTGCTCCCACTGTCTTGCCAGTCAGATACAGCCTTTAGCCATGTTCACTAGGTTTGTCTGAAGGGAACTTTAACTTGCAAATATTGGTTTAGAATATTTTATTAAAAATCATTGTCCAACAGAAATATGTCTTCAAGAAAATAATCATCTGATGATTCTCTTAATCTTTGGGAATCTGAAATCTGGTGCTGACTGAATTTGAGGTCAGCTGACTTCCCTTCACTTAAAGTGTTGATTCAAACTTCTGGATTTATATGCACCTAAACACAAAGTATTTGTAATCGATCTGAGCTCAGAGCCTTAAGCAAGTTCTCGGAAAAGACTTTGTTTTCTTTTCTGACCCTTACACTTTGCCTGTACTGTGTTTTCATAGAAATACAGATAGAAACTGTGTGATCACACTACATGCAGTGTGAGTCTTGTGTGTTGACCATTAATCTACTGAAATGTAAACTTGGGAACACGGAGACAGTATTTTCCTCTGGTCATACTAAAGAGGAGAGTGATGTATTTGCTGGGAGTTCAGTGAGGCTAAGCCAGTAGCTGAGCAGCTGTGCTGTGATTTTTACTTACCATAGTTGTTTCTGCAATCGAACCGAAGCTGTTGATGAAAATGTTGCAGCTGACGTTCACTGGTGGGCCTGCATGACAAATATGGATTGGAACAGCAGTTCACTGTGTGGTTATAAGACAAAGTATTTCCACTCGGTAGTGTTAAAACCTATTGTGGGAAGAGGGTGACTGAGGGGTGAGTATGGGAAAAAGGTCTGGATGACCCGGCTTAGTTTAGTCTTGGTTCTGATGCATGTTTAACATCAGACAATGCTCTTGCTTTGCCTCTGTTCCCCTGTTTGAGAGAGTGTTTATATATCTCTTCTGTTGGCTTGTGTGAGGCTCTAGGAACTTCCCTGCCGAGTGCTGAAACGAGCCACCTCTGCAGTGGGATGCAGCTGTGAAGGAATGTTGTTTTCCAGCAGCAGGGTTAAGGGTGCAGCCTGGGTGAGAGGTCCTTTGTCCCTCACATGGTGGATTCAGTTCTGTCCCTGCATGAGTTACTGACTTCATCCTCCAACTTAAACCAAAGCCCAAATGCTTTTTCCTTGTTCTCAGAATCTGAATCCACAGCTAAGTCCAGCCTTTACAGTATTTATGGAAAACCTGCACTCTTATTTTTGTTAATCTTCCCCTCCCCAAAAATCAATCTGATACGGATCTTTGGTATTATTTTAATTTAGATCTAACCCATTAAAATGCCCTTATGAGTTACTGCAGTTAATTTAAATGACAAGCTTTGAGAGCTACAACCCCAAGCTCTGTAAAACACCTCCTATGCCTCCCATATAAATTGGAGCCTGATTTATGTGGGAGGCTAAGCCAGCAAAACTGCCCTGTGGGGAAGGTGTAGTTCATTGAAATAAAACTGAAATTAAATTATCTCAAATAAAAATGCAATACAGCTGCCTTCGGCAGGAAGATAATGTATACATTTCATTAAATATTAAACTTTAATTTCTTGTGTGTGTGTGTGCATAATTTAGTGGTAGGCAGGTTTGCAGGGTGTTTTTTTAACTCTTTGATTTGGATAAAAACAGCAGTGTTCTCTGTTGCCTAGCTAATTTCTAGGACATAAGCTTTCCACCTATATTTGGGTTTAAAAGCCCAGTATAGAGCTTATTGTTTGAAGCTGGATGGTAGGTGCTGTCACTGTGATTAATGGGTCCTGGGCGTCCTCTGTTAGCATTGCCAGTGACTTGGGGGCGGAGGAATTGGTAGTAGGAAACAAAAGAAGTGAATGAAATGAGCATTGGAGAGGGCTGGACAGTGGCTGAGAGGGGCAGGTACTGCTTCATCTCTGGGTGCGATACAAGGGCAAATAGCTCTGGGAAAGTGAGCTCAGTTAAAAGGAAAAGCAAACCAAAAAAACCCCAAACCCCACCCTTGTTAGAAGAGGTGTTTCGAGAAGCAAAAAGGTTCTGTTGCTTCTCCCAAGGCCTGGTCCGATGCTGCTTGACTAACAGTGAGTATAGGATGAACTGGGGAAATCGGGTACGAAACGCAGCTGTGCTGGGCACTAGCTTAAGAGCCCCTTTACTATGGGGAACAGTGATGGGGCAGAGATGCCCCTGGCATCTTGCTGAATTCCTCTGGAGCTGGTGGGAGAGGCTCCTCTTGGCTCCAGCAGGTGTTGGGGGGAGCGTTGACCCCCATTAGAAGGTGCTGTGGGCAGTGACTTCAGGGCAAAGTTGAAGGATTTTTTTCTCTTGATCTGCAAGATGTTCAGCTCCTGCCAGTCACTGCCTGGTTTGGCAGGATCCCTGATCCTCATACTGAAGCTTTTCCTGTATGTAAAGGTGTTACAAGGTTGTTTCCATTCTGAATGGAAGTCAGATGCCTTTCCAGACATCTACAAGGGATCTATGTGTCAAACCTCCCATCGTCATAGGTATTTCATATGGACATAATGATTGTTCATATTTTGTATACAGTTAGGGAAGCATTCATGAGGATTGCATGCAGTTTTCAGTCTCAAAATGAAACAAAGCCACAAAGCAGGGGTTTTGCATACCTTTAAAATTTGGCCTGATCCTGGCATCATATCCTGAAGTTCGTCCCATCAACTTATCCAAGAAATCGGAAGGAGACATGGGTTTGGGGGCAGATCGTGCTGCTGCTTCAGCTTCTTTGGAGGCTGCCAGGCTGTGTGAGTAGAAGGAAAGAGGAGGTTTTAGTGTGCATCCCATACTGCGGAGGGTTTGGGGTCCAGACATGGAGCAATCGGCATCTCGTTTCTGCTTCAAGGCAGGATGGGTACCCATGTGGATTTCTAATAAGGCTGGTCTTTGCTGATTTGTTTACCCAGCCCAAACATCTCTGAATGCAGCATCCCAGCTGCCACCGAAGTAGAAGTGAGATGATGAGTGGAGAAAATCCTTTTGTGAGTTTAGGTATAGCTCCTTGGCATGCCACTAAATTACAAATGTGAACTCTGGCATTGAGCTCTAAAGGTAAAATATACTTGAGATTAGCCTTGGGCAGCAATTACTGCTTAATTACATGGCAAATAGTAAATAACATATCTGGTACTCTGACAGTTTAATTTTCCAAAAGGCAGGTAGGATCAGAGCGATCTGGAATTTGAGGCTTAAATGAGTGTCATGTGATTGTATAGCTCCTGCAGAGCCTTTGCGACCATAGGGGATAGATGCATTTTTATTTCCTGCTTCCTGGTCAGTCCAGCATTTGCTAGTGGTAGCTGCAATGCAGGGGTCTGAGTTCAATACAGCAACACAGTCTCTGGACTGGGAGGTGTCTGGAGTGTGATCCTGAAATGATACTCCTACTGGGTCCAGGATGAAAGGAAATGAAATCTTTTTGGGACCTGTATGGTTTCTGGGGCAGAAAGAGCAAAGTGACTCATTTATCTGTAGAAGATGAAAATCTAAGGTTGGCAATGTGCCCGTGGGAGTGTGCAAGATCTGCAAGGTGATTTGGGCTTAGGAAGTCCCTGTTGTTGCCATCTACACAGAAACAAGTGGCCCCTGGTACGAGGTGCTCATTCTCAACTTTGCAGGGAGGTTTGATTTTCCAAGACCAGAATAGACACTATTCAGTTCCTTCCCTATGTTTATATTGTTTCTACTTGAACACAGATCTGTTCCCAGGCTGAAAGTGAGGTGTAAAATTGCCTAGATTAGAGGAAAAAACCAACCAAACAAAAATCCCTCCCCAAACCACATAGGTGACATGCAATGTGCTTAGGTGAGAGCTGTCTCTGCCTGAAGGTTCAAATGCCTGATGCTGGTTAAAGCCACAGGCAGTATTGCAAGGCAAATATATAATAAGCCAAAGAAAGCTGCTCAGGAGGAAGTAAGGCTTATTGCTTCACCTCTTGCAAAACTCCTGAATTCGAAGTACAAAGGCTCTGTGGGAACAGTGGGAAGCCGCTGTATCAGAGCACCTGAGAGGTCTCAAAGCATGTTTACAACAGGCACAAGATATTTAGCTCCGTATGTCCTCACAAATGACACCATGGAGTCCTCTTGCAGCATGAGGACGTCACCTTGGGAAGTTCTTCATTTCTTGTCTCAAGAGACTCTGCAGTAGCCAAAACTGCTGTCTTTCAGAAGAGGAGTGCTAAGTACTGACAAGATCTATCAGAAAGAATTTAGAGATGGTTATTATGCATGGTGTTAATGTGACCCTGTCCCCAAAGACCTGTTCAGACAATACAGGTTTGAGCTGAGACCTCAGACGTGAATGTTATCCACATGAGGCCTTGACAAGAGCGTTTTGAACCACCAAGTTCCCCAGGACTTAAAAAATGGATGCGATTCAAAAAAGGGCTTGGGTGTCATAATTTCAAAATCTGTATAACCTGTATTGTGTTGACTTCTCTTTTCCAGTGTTAGAAGTGATGTCTTGCCAAGCCTTGGTTTTCAGTCCTGCAAACTCACAGCTGCAGTCTGGCTTCTTTTGCAAGCTGCAGCCGTATTGGGGTTCTCTGACTACTGGATTTTTAACTGTTAAAAATTGTTTCATTTCTGCAGTAGAGAGGAGAGCAAAGTTCCAGATCACTCCTAGTGAGTCTAAAACCAGTATTTCATTTAATTCCATTCACCCTTCATATGTTCACAGTCCGCTCCCACAGTTGACCTTATCTGAGCGGGCTGATGCACACTCGTGCTTGGATGTGATCTGACAAGGTGTGAATTTAGATTTTACTTTAACCATGTGCTATTTCTTGTCTTGTCCCTGTCTCTGCTCTAAGGAACTATGCAAAGGCAAACCAGTGTGTTTCGGGGGTAAATGAGGCTGTGGAATGGGTGATATTCTTTAATTATTTTTTTTTTAAAAGGAAAACAACAGGGTGCAATTGATTTGCAAATGCAGAAGAAGAAAGCTTGGAATGGAAGGACAATCAATACTGGGCTCAACTATTGCATTCCAATAGAGTGTCTGCATGGCAATGAGTCGAGAGAAGATTTCAATTAAGCAACAAATGACTTGGTAACCAAAGACTCCTGCCACTTCAGCAGCAAGATGCCAGATAGTGCAATAGAGTGATTTCTTCTCATTAACTGTAGACTTGAAGTATATGGAAGTGGAAAAGTGGGGGGGCAGGAGGGAAGAGACAATACAAATCTAATAAGCTTTAAGTGCAAAAAGATAATTAGAAACTGCAATTCCCCTGGCATTTATTTTAAAAAATTTAGGTGAAAAAGCAGAGAAATCAGTGTTCAGCTTTCCTGTAAAGTGTGAAAATCTGTTCTGAATATGTTCACTTCACTTCCAGTGACTGAGTCTGATGTATTCCTTGGGTCCCATTTTCTGATTCTTTCTGCATCAAAGTTGCAAGTAAATTAATTTCATGGGCTTAGTTCCTACATGGAAGTAGGTATTTAGATAAATGAATCCCACAAGCATCTGGGAGAGGGCCACCCTCTCACAGCCCTGCTGCGTTCTGCAGCTTCACGTCCATCCCTGTGAGCCGTTTCTCTGAGCATCTTTTTGGATGTGCTAAAACTGTCAAACACCATCTCGTGCCTCCTGGTGTGTGTTTTAGGAGCTCTGAGTGCTGCATTGTTACCCAAATGACCTAGGAATGATGAGTTCTGAGTTTCTTCCAGTTTCTGTTTGGTTACTAAATGTTTTGTTAAAATTTCCCCCCCCCACGCTCTAGATTTAACAAGAAAAGGCAAGAAAGTAGGGGATGATGGAATACCAAAGCCTTTCCGACAGCAGGCTCTATGGGCGTCAGGCAGATGTGTCTGCTCTCTAGCTCAGAAGCGATAGTAGAAAACACCACTGGGAGCTACAGAGAGGCTGTCCCACCCCACCATGCTTTGGAGGGATGGATTGCATCTGACATAACTCCGGAGTGTTCATTCTGGTTGTGACAATTGAGCTTTGATATGCCAGTTTATCTCAGATAGCACCCAAAAAAGCTATCAGCTTTTTCTATTGTTTTCCAGGTGTGTTTTGACCAGTGCTGTGTGTGCTGCCTTGAGAGCTTTCTGGGATTTTCTTCATTCTTTAGTTCTTTCAACCTTGAAAGTCCCATAGGTACTGTTCATCTCCTGGTCCAGCAGAGACAAGGAGAGGGGGAAACTGCCAATTGATTTGAAAAATATTGACGGTAGGAGAGAAATGGATATTTAGGTGGGTGGTTGTGTGGTTCAGAGAAAAAAAAAATAATTCTATGAATAAACAAAAGGAGGCAAAACATGTAACAGAACGACTGAGGATGTAGTTTGCATTGGTGCAAGAGTGTTGTCTGAGCTGAGAGCATCTTGGTGCATTTTAATAGCAGCCAGACAGCAGCTTATTTTATTTACGAGGGTGTAATCCCTAGTGCATCTGGCTGAGGAAGTGCCATCGGGCAATCATCACAGCAACAACAATGGAAGAGATCCCTTCAAAGGGCCGATGAACCAGCATAATCCTTTGTGCTATCAATGCTGGCATGTGAGCAGACATCACCAAGCCCCTGGCAGGTCCAGCCCGCTTAGCGGGCACGTGAAAGTGGAAGCTGGTGATGAACCGCCCAACTGCTCAGGGTTGCATTCCTTAAAACAGAGCAGTCAGGCTTTGCAGGATACCTATTACGGTTTTCTCCCAGCCTCTACAGGCACTGTTTGCTCTGTCGGCATTATTTTGATTCAGCTAAACAGATGATATATTCTTGTAAAGAGTTATTTGGTTTAGAAAGTGGCTCTGCTGCAGTCTGGATGTGTCAGTTTGTTCTGTTCCCAGCTCCCCAGTCGGCTGTTTTCTCCTTCTCCCCCCATTTCTATGGCTCTTCTGCATTATTTTAATGCTTTTTTTTTTTTTTTTTTTTTTTTGCCCATAGTTGTCCATCTAATTAAGTCCAACATCACAAACTGCCCTATTCTGTTTGAATGCTGATACTGAGAATTACCGATTTTTTTTTTTTTTTTTTCCCGAAGAGCAATGATGAAGGAATTTAATTAGCATGGGGCCTCTATTCCCCTGTCATAATTTAATCGTTAGTCATTAATTCTGAGGGTAAAAAAAATAACGTCTGGCAGCAGAAACATAAACTGTTGCAAAACCAGTGTTTGCAGAGGAAATCTATCTCTGCAAAGTGTGGAAGGTTCAGGTCCCTGCGAAGGTAAACTGGTGCAACATCAGTGGCTCAGGAGAACAGCACTGGGGTCATTCCTCTGGTTGGGCACTTTGCGGGCTGGGGAAATACAAGATACCTGATCACTTTTCCTGGTTCAATGCTGCTCAGCAAAGGTTTCTGAAGGGGGTGGTTTGTTTGTTTATTTTTGAAACACAGTGCAAGCCAGAAAGCTTGGCAGGGATGTGTTGGGAGTAGTGTTCAGGTGAGCTGGCTCTCGCATTTGTCCTTCAAATGTGATGTTTTCTGTGAGCAGGTATCCCAGGGGAGAGGAATATCCACCAGGTCTTTGAGGCAGGCTGAGGTGACCAGTATAACTGTTTCCACAGTTACCTTCAAAGCCAGGCTAGAGCAGTGTGGGCTCCTGGGGACACAGGAGAATTCACCAGCTTAGTTTCACTGACTCCAGCAGGCTCTGAGATGTGTAATCACGAAGAGGACACCAGACGGTTGGGCACAAAAAGGCATCATGTCCTCCGTGGTAACTCTCCCCCTGCTCTTCCCAAACCACCTCCCTGGTCCCCGAGATGGTGCCTCTTGGGCACAGAGTCCC